GCTACAATAATTGTAGAAGACTGGAATCTTGCATTTTCAATCGTATTGACATTAAATTCATTACAGGAAATTGTCACCTTAAGTTTTCATTTTAATACGGAATCCATATACATATATCAAATATTTCCTAGCTTTTCACAATAATTCTCAGCTGGTTATTCTGGGAGATTATTCTGATCCTAAACTATTGATACCACAGCCAATCGTAGCAATGCACCTTTAATTCGATAGCTGTTATTTTCGATACCATCGATTATTGTTTGTGTTAACATTTCATAGTGAATTACGAGGGTTTAGCTAATTCATCTATCCTCAGGTAAATTGACTCATTTCAATTTTGATTTCGTTGAAGAATGACACCGAACTGCGTAAGTTATTTGTAACATTTATGTGTAGCGACCTCCTGCCCTTTAAGCCGCTGCCAGGAACATTGTTTTTCTGGGAGATTATTCTGATCCTAAACTACTGATTCCACAGCCAATCGTAGCAATGCACCTATAATTCGATAGCTGTTATTGTCGATATCATCGATTATTGTTTGTGTTAACACTTCATAGTGAATAACGACGCTTTAGCTGATTCATCTCTCCTCAGACATTTGCGAGCGTAAATTGACTCATTTCAATTTTGATTACGTTAAAGAACGGACACCAAACTGCGTAAGTTATTTGTAACATTTATGTATAGAGACCTCCTGCCCTTTAAGCCGCTGCCAGGAACATTGACGTAATGAAAAACATCATTAACAGCCCCGAGAAAGTTTCCTTGAGTTTCTAAAATTTTGCACACATGTTTATTTTCCAGTAGACAGGTTAAGTTCGTAAATGGACCATGTAGGTTCACGTTTTTATATAACCTCCATATAACGGTGCCTCCCGATATTCGGTATTTTGATGATTTTAGCGACATTATTCACCGGAATTGTTTCAAATTTAGTATTTGAAGTTCGTAATGGATACTACAACCTAAGATAGAACATGATCTGTGCAGGACCACGTCTTCGTATAGCCCCCATATAACTGTACCTCCCTATATTCATTATTCACCGCAATGGTTTCAATTTTGGTATTTGAAGTTCGTAATGGATACTACAGCCTATGACAGAAAATTGTCTATGCAGGTCCACGTCTTCGCATAACACCCCATATAACGGTACCTCCTTATATTCGGTATTTTGATGATTTTAGCGTCATTATTCACCGGAACTGTTTAAAATTTGGTATTTGAAGTTCGTAATGGATACTACAGCCTATGACAGAAAATGGTCTATGCAGGTCCACGTCTTCGCATAACACCCCATATAACGGTACCTCCCTACATTCGGTATTTTGAAGATTTTAGCGACATTATTCACCGGAATTGTTTCAAATTACGTATTTAGAGTTCATAATGGAACCTACAACCTGTGACAGAAAATTGTCTGTGCTGGTCCAGTTCTTCGTATAGGCCCCAAACACCAGTACCTCCCTATATTCGGTATTTTGACGAGCTTAGGTACAATACCCACCGAAATTGTTTGAGATTTCGTATTTGAAGTTCGTAATGGATGCTACAGCCTGTAACAGAGCATTGTCTATGCTGGTCCAGGTCTTCGCACAGCTCCGATATAACGGTACCTCCCTATATACGGTATGCTTTTAGCTACATTATTCACCGTTTATTTCAAGTTTCGAATTTGAATATGGTAATGGCTTATGACAAACAATGCCTATATAGATCCACGTCGTATAGACCCCAATATAACGGCTATATTTGGCATTTTTAAAATTTTAACAAAATTTTTTAAGGATTTTATTTTTTGAAAATTTCCACATTCTTTCTCAATGGTGGAGGGTATTCAAAGTTCGGTCCGGTCGAACTTACTGCTTTTTAAATTTTTTTCATTCAAAATTTTCAATTCCAAAATTGTTTTGACAGATCACTGTCCCAGCAGATGTGCCGATGCGACTACCTGTATTCTTCTACCATGAAGACGTAGACCTGTCGTGCCTAAAGTCGTGTGGCTAAAATCATGAAAATACCGAGTAACGGGAGCTGGATATGAGAGTAAAAAAAATCGTTCAAAGTGCATAGAATATAAAAAATAATATCTGGTACTAACGTATTTATATGGACCTCACTAGTACCAATGTCTCCATGTGATCCCCCCTTGGACTACTGACAATGTCACCAGTGACTTCTGAATGAAAAGCTCATATGCAAAACATTGCTTGTCCAACATGATCAGTAGTATTGGTGACAAAGCCAATAGTAATTCAGTAGTAATTGACTGTGCATATTTCCTAAAGGGTTGTTTATAAAACTTCATGGTTTGTTGTCAAATACATGATTACGGTTTATTTTTATAATTTGTATTTTGTACATAATATTTTTAATTTTTGGAAATACAAAGATACATTTTGTTTTATTTCGGAAAAGCCAACTAATAAATTTTGTCATTTTATAAAAGTCCATGCCAAAGGCTGCCAAAAAATTATTTTTTTCTTTAGGGCGAAATTTTTTTTTTCGCTGCGGCAACAACTTAGTCTCATTTCGTCTCCTGGGTGTTCTCTTCACACACACACCATCTATTAATTTCTCTGTCATAATTCGATGTTTACACAAATTGATATAAAAGTTGGGACTAATAAATAGCAAAGCATTAAACCACCAAATGTGTCTTGGCTATTAGTTCCCAATATAGTCATTGGGAAATTCTTTTCAATTTGTCATAAATATTGGGACGTAACACACATTAAAAGGGGAAATTAATGTCAAATTTTTATCGAAGACAAGAACTTTACCGGGGGACGAATATAGGTTGGTGTTTACACGCCAGGTGACAGCTTGTACTTTGCCCGTGATATTAAAATGTCGCAATAGATGTCGTCAGTAAATGTTTCTCAAGTATGTATAAGGCATTATCAGACGGAATGTTTTTTATACCCTCCACCATTCTATGGGTGTTATATTAACTGTGGCTTCTTTGTAGAGGAACAAAGAAGTTTTAGGGTGACTTAGTTCGATTTTGGGCCTACACTCCTTTGCTCTTTTCCGAAGAAGCCAATCGATGACTTAAGCCAGTTAAAGAAAACGTTTTATGTATTCTCACCTTAACACCTCGAAATATTCATGATAGACCCTACAAAGTATATATATTCTGGTTCAATGTAAAATTCTAGGTCGAGCGATGGTCATATCTCTGTGTATCTGTCTGTCCGCTATCTTTTGAACGAGTTGGAACGATAGAGGGCTAAAATTTTGCAGACGTGTGTATTTATCCAGTAGGCTGATTAAGTTCGGAAAATGAGTCATGCTGGTCCACGTATTCGTATGATAAAAAAATTGCGTATGCAGGTCCACGTTTCCCTAAGCCTCCATACGACGGTACCTCCCGATATTCGGATATTTTGATGATTTTAACGACATTATTTGAATATTATAGAAAACTGTCTACGCACGTCCACGTCTTCGCCTCCATATAACGGTACCTCCCGATATTTTAATGATATTAGCGATATTTTTCACCGCAATTGTTTCAAATTTCGTATTTGATGTTCGCAATGAGTACAACAACCTATGACAGAAAACTGCCTATGCACGTCCACATCTTCGTATAGTCCACATATAACACAACCTCCGTTTTTTCGGTATTTTAATGATATTAGCGAAATTATTCACTGGAATTGTTTTAAATTTCGGATTAGAAGTTCGTAATGGGTCCTACAGCCTATGGCAGTAAATTACCTATGCCGTTCCCCCACTTCGTATAGATCCCATATAAGGGTTTCATTTTTGAGGTATTTTTCGAAGGATTTTTTTTAAATTTTGAAGTTCCTTCCAAATGTTGGAGGGTACTAAAAGTTCAGCCCGGTCGAACTTAGCAGTTTTTTTACTTGTTTTCATATATAATGTCAAATTTTTCATATGTCGAAGTTACACATATCGTGTGATACATGAGCGACATTTCAGGTGTGAAATACATGAATAAATGTCATACGTACTTTTCGATCACAGCGAACCCTATTTTCTTAAAAAAAAAAAAACATTTTTCTGCTCCAGAACATGCAAGAATCTACTGATTTCGAAATATTTTCCGATAACAGAAAGGAAAAATCCTTTATCGTAGTAAATTTTTTTTACCTTATTTCAATTCTGGAACAGAATTTTTAATTTCATCAATTTATACATTAAATAATATAATTTTTTTTTATAAAACGCACTATAATTACAATTGAACTAATCCAGAACTACAAGGATGTAAAAGATTTACTACCGATTTTCACACTATGAAATCGAAAAAAATGCAAAAATAGTAGAATCTTGCATGTTCAGGAAAATATAAGCGAATATAATCATGGTAGAATTAAGAAGGTAAAGTCATGCAATCATATGTTAACAATTTTTTTTTTAAATATTCATTTGAAAACATGTCATTGTCAAAATATATGCATCAACGCTTTGAAGACGGATTTCATTAATTTCGCGATTTCGATTAAAATATTGTGAGAAAAGTATAATTAAATTTAAAGTTACAATACTCTAGTTTCGGGGTCGTGTTGTCAAATTCATACAATCTAACCTAACTTGTAATTATTGTACCATGGAACTGACCATTAAATATAATATTCAAATTATTTTTGATGCATACGTCTTTCTATAGTTTATAACCACAATATTTCCCATTTTGAATTGTTTTTATTAAATATCTATGCTGTAAAATGTAAAGAAATTAATAAATATATAAAAAGCAACTACACTTCAAACAAATCGTAAGACATATCATACAACATTCACTTAGTACAAACCCCCTTAAATGCAACCCTGCATAGAATTCCATTAACATTGAATGTGGCAACACTAACACACAGCCACTGCCTGTGAACATGCTGTTTACTATATAGCCTATTCACTCACACCTATGGCGTTGGCAATGGCAAACTGTAAACGTCAAATGTGCCATCATATATTTCTCTCAAAACCTCATGGTCTCTCTTGTGATTGCCCAGCATATGGTAACCAATACATTTCGATGTTGCCACACTCGCAGATATTCCAAGAGAACTCTTGAAGTCAATCGTTCATTTATTTACTATTGTCGTGCACGGAAAGAAAAAGATTTTTCTTGATAACGCTAATATAGTTTTTTTTTTTATTTCACAAATGAAATAAAAGCAAACGAAGAAAAAAAAAAGAAACGGAGAAATATTAAATAATTTTTAATAAAACAATGTAAAGTTATTTTCCACTATATTCTAATTATTACTAACTAAAAATTGCAACCAACCCATAAAAAGAAAGAACGAAAAAAACGAAAACGTGTGCTCTGAACAAAGATTCATTCCTCCTAATTAAAAAGGGAAAAAGTTACGTGAAAAAAAGAACTGCAAAAAGGAAATGGGACGAGCGTCTCGTCACCTCCAACGTGCATTCAAGTGTCGTTTTTAGTGTAGTTTGTGTAACAATTTTTGCACCAATGACGACGACGGCAAGCAAAAGTGTTTGAAGGAAAAAAATTACAATCCATTGTTCAGAAAAAATTGCTAATAAATTTTATTCAAGAAAAAAAACCTGCTAAAAGTCCAACGACGACGACGACAGGCCCAAACGCAACGTGAACATGTAGAAGAACCAAAAAAAAATCACAAGAAAGATAGTTAAAAAGAGAAACGAAACGAAAAGTAATCCAGCAAAGCAAAAAATAAAAAAAGAAAATTCATAGCACACACACACACATACAAACACTTGCTCTCACTCTCCGATGAGTACATGACAAGTAAAGCAATCACATGAAGTAAGGGCGGAGAGGGAGAGAAAACACTGCTGCTACCGACTGTCAGAAGTGAAAAATTCACAAAAGACAAAAAAAAAAACAACGCCTGCTTTTGTGGGTTTGCCTTGTCGGCATTTTTTCAGTTTTTTTCCTTCCTTCAAAATCAATGCAGTTCGAGGAATCTGCAATTTCCAGGAATTGTTTTTAAGTTTATTTTCATATTCGCATTTTGGCATCATATTTGGCCAGGGATAAACATTTTTTAAGTGGGAATTTTAGGTAATGGGAGATACTAAATTTAGGCGATGGGAACAAATGATGGAAAATTAAGTTTTTTGTTTTTATTACAAGAATTTATCCCAATTACGTTTTGTCTTTCTCTTTTTCTGCTTTCTGTCTGACATTTCTCTGCTCTGCTGTGTGATATTTATCACCACAAAACACAGAACGTGACACAAAGGAAACCTTAAACGAAAAGAAGAACAAAAACGAACAAGAAATCAACGGCGTGAAACAACGTTCTGAAAAAAATATTAAAATTAAAAAACAGAAAACAAAAGTAAAAAAAACAATAAAAATTAAATATTTTTTAAGAAAACAAAATAACCAAGTAATTGTAACAAAAGAAAAAGCAACAACAACTAGAATAAAAATATTTAAAATACCACTAAACAGGAGAAATTTCAAAGATTGATTTTGTGTTTTGCTGCAGTAGTGGAACAACAACAAAAATCGTTTTAAGGCAAAATTTGCAAAGCAAAAGTAGAAGAAGAAGAAGAATTGTGAATAAAAGAAAAATACAAAATTGCAAAATACTATTGCGAGTGTGTGAGTTAGTGAACTTGTGTGTGTTTTACTTAATTCGCGGCGAAGAAGTGGAATACGGGAAATTGCAAACGACAAATCTACTAAAAACGAAAAGAAGAAGAAGAACAGCAACAACAACAACTAGCAGAAGAAACTGAAGAGAAACTTGCTTTAAACTATTGCGCTACTACTACTAGTTTTATTACCGTTACTTTCATTGTAATCTTCTTCTATTGCTGCTATTTTCCTCTATTCACTTTTGCCTCCCTCCCCTCAACAACTAAAACAACACAAGAAACGCAACAAATCATAAACGACGGCAACTACGACGACGACAACCACGACGCAACAACAACAACAGCGAGACAAGACCATAAAAATATTGCAAATCTAATTCCTGCAAATTAAGCAAGCAAGAAAAAAGTAAAACAAAAACAAACAAAGAAAGAAAAAAGAGACCAACAACACCAACACACACAACCCCCCAACTCAGAAACCAAAAAGGAAGCGGTAAGTTGGCCAATTCTTTGTTCAATTCTACTATTTTACAACAATTCGATTCCCATTATCTTCCAAAAAACAAAAAAATTAAAAAACGAATGAACGCGAATACAACAAAAATAAAAACCCAAAACGTGTGTGACATGTTGTGTAAATTACAATAAAAAAGAAAACTCGCGAATTATAAAGGAAACAACAAAAGATTATCGTGTTATTACGTACATTGACAATTGTTCAAAGAAAGTCATAATAAATGCCAAGTCGTTGAACGATGGTCGGCTTTTTCTCTCATCTCTGTTTTTTTTTTCTGTCATACTTAACAACAACAATAAAAAAAATCTATTTTCAAGTGGCAAAGGCAGGGCAGTGTAGTGTATTTGGGCGAGTGGCTGAGTGAGTGGTGGGTGTGTGTGCGTGTGCATATTTCTCAGAGAATGGTGATCTTATTTTCTTTTTGTTCTTGCAAAATATCTATGACAAGTTTTTTTTTTTGTGTTTTATTTTCCCTTGGCTGTTCACAGAAAATACATTTCCATTTTTAAGGAAATTTCCTGCCGCCATATGACTACTCGGCTGGCCATTGTGTGTCATTATTAACAAAATGAAAACACGTGGATCGTGCTGTGTCCAAGTGTGTATGTGTGAATCACACACAATATGATGTCTCTCGCTCTCCTCTTCTCTCTTGCTTTGTTTGTTATCTCCTACACTCTCTAGCTGTCTCTTTTGTTGAATGACCGACCAAAATACCAAGGCCACTCGAAACTAGATTACAACGAACCCATAAATGTGGCAGCGCTTTGCCTTAAAAAATGGCCGAAGAAGAGGAGAGTAAAGTAACATGATAACAAAAATTCCCATAGATGACATTTCTGTTGTTGGTGTTGTTAGTTTGATCTCGTGGTTTAATTCAACACCTTTTTATTGATGGATAAACATTGTTAACATTGTTCTCTCGCATACAAAAAAAAAAAAAAAGAGTTGTATTGGTATATCCACGTTGCATGCAGTCACCTTAAGACCAGAGCACGAAGCCGATCGGCTCGCAGTCGGCGTGCAGCCGCCGCCGACTTTTTTTAAGTGATCTGAGCCGCCGCTGATGTATGCGGCTCTCATCGGCTCAAATTTTTAGCCGACTGAGTCGGCTAAGCCGTTGAAAAATATAAATTTATACAGCAAATTTGTATAAATATGTCTTTTAATCTTATCGATAAATTAACATATTATAATGCTCATTATTGGACGATAATTTACATTGTGCACTCGTCTTCGAGAGGCAAAAACGTGTAGGCTATTTATATTAATTATACCCTACACCACATAGTGGTAAGGGTATTATGACTTTGTAGATTTGTTTTTTTTATCACAAAACCTTTGGCAACCTTTTGTAACTTACGAATTTTGATGGAGTGGCAACCATATTGTTTGCCAAAGATTCGTTGTGTTTTTGCTTGTTCAAAGAAAAGAATGCAAAATGTGCCAAAGGAATATTAAAAATTATTTTTCCGCTAACCGAAAGGGTCAAACAGTTTTGACTAAATCAGAATCCGATTCTGACGAATCTGTTGATACTGAAATCAATATTTCTCCATATGCAGATGTATCTCAATATGAAGATCTTTTTAAAAAGAAAAATGAATTTAAAAATTTGGCAAAGGTTGTTGTAAATGAAGGTGGTATATCAATGTGTTGGAAATATTTTGGTGATCTCTATTTTAAAAAGAGGCATATACTTCAAAAATATAAATTTTGCAAATTGTGTTTGGATGAAAAGACCAATTTAAAAAGGTAAGAATTTCTAATTTTTTCCATTCGCATGTGTGTAAATGTTTATGATTTTAGTTTTGGAAAATCAACATCAACCACAAATTATATGAACCATCTACGAGCTGTACATAACTTGGACGTGAAATCTTTAAATAACCTGAAAAGTTCAACAATGACACAAAATGCATTGAAATCCTCAACAAGTTGTAACAACAAACAACAAAATGCTCGCCGGGTCGCCGAAATGTGCTGTTGGGATTTGCAACCGTTTAAAATTGTTGAAAGGCCAGGATTTAAGAAATTGGTATCTTTCTTAAACCCAAAGGCTATATTCCCCACAGATAGGACAATAGCTACGACGGCTTTAAACGATGTTTATAACATATATTTGGACCACGTAAAAACAAGCCTTAAAGAGTCGCCCAAAAATGTTACACTTGTATTGGATATGTGGTCAGATAAACATAAGCACTTGTCTTACATAAACATAAAAGTTCATTTCTGCCAAAATTTTCAAATGCAAATTGTAACGCTCAAGACAGAGATCTTTCCACGACCTCACACTGGACTAGCAGTTGTAGAAAAAATTGAAGAAGCTTTATGTGAATTTAATCTGTTGGAAAAAAACATATGTGCTGTTACTGATGGTGGAAGCAACATCGTTTCAGCTTTAAAAATTAAAAATATACCAAGATATGGTTGTATGGCTCATGTTTTACACAGATTTTTGATGGAAGATATACTAAACAACAAGTCATTTGAAAATATTAATAACATAATATCAAAATTAAAAAAAATTTATAGCAGCTTAATGTATAGCTATGAAGAAATATCAAATATTCAAAATATGGAGGAACAAAACGATTTAGAAAAAATATTTACAGAGGTTGAAATAATTTTGGAGAGTTTGGATAGTTGCGAACAATTTCCACATGGAGATGACTATTTTACTGAACAATATGAAGCAACTTTAAACGTCAAGCACCACACCTCTTTGAAAAATTCCGTTGCAACACGTTGGAACTCTCTGCTTGCAATGATTCAAAGCTATACGAATAATATATCCACTATAAATGTAGCATTAGTTAAAGCTAAAAAGGAACTGTTAGTGATTGGGACAATGGAAAAGCAAATTATAACGGAATTTGGCACGTTTTTAAAAATTTTTGAGGACGCCACAAAACACCTTCAAGGCCAAGATTATCCGACGATATCTTCGTGTATTTATTTTCAGGAATCCATTATGTCCTCAATGAAGAATGAAGAAGAAAAAGCGTCTTTTGAACTAACAATCAATTTATGCAATTTCGCTGTGCAAAACTTCACGAAGCGATTCAAAGTATATAGAATGTATGTTGTAGCTGCGCTTATGGACCCATACCAAAAAAACTGGCCTGTTTTAGATAAATATATACTACAGATACCCAAACAATCGCCAAACTCCTTGGAACTTGTGCATGATGTTCTGTCTCCAATTTCCAAGGAGAACTTGATTATGGAAGAAATTGAAAAATTAAAGGAAATCGATGACACATTATTAAATGAGCCATCAACGAGCACTGAACCAAATGCAAAAAAACAGGTATTATGTTTTAATAAATGTAAAGGTAAACTTAACTGACGTATATTTTACTTGCAGAAAATATCAGCTAGTCGTCAAAGAATGTTGGAATTTATGGGACCATCGCCTTCTAATGTACAAAATAACGTAGAGTTAGAAATAAGAAAATATTTGGAAATGAAAGTCGAGGCGGTCGAGCCTCTAGATTGGTGGCGACAGAACAAACAAGTACGTTAAAGATTCACATCTTAAACTTGTTTTAAGCAGGTTACGTTTTGACCATTTACTTTTTATAGATCTTTCCAAATGTTGCTACTGTAGCAAATATGTGCTTTGGAATTCCAGCCACATCAGCATCTTCAGAGCAAGCATTTTCATATGCCGGGAATTGTGTAAATGCAAAGAGAAGCAGCCTGCATCCGGCAACAGTAAAGAAACAATTGTTTGTTCACGATAACAAGGCAGTCGTCGAACCATTTTTATCAAATTAAAGTATTTTTATTAATTTTTAATGTGCTATAAGCAACAAATGTGCATATAAACTTATATTTTCATTTTTATTTTAAATTAAATGAATTGACAGTTATTAAAACAACCGAAATTATTTGTTCACGTTAAAGTCGTCGTCTGTAGCCGACTTTTAGCCGCCGCCGGCCGTATATTGCTTTAGCCGCCGCCGCCGATTTTCTTTCGGCTGCAGTCGACTTTTAGCCGCCGCCGACTTTTTTATGCTTAGCCGCCGCCGCCGAGAATTTCACATCGGCTTCGCCCTCTGCTTAAGACTTAAGGTTCAAGCCACGATTTTTGATGACAGCGATGCAACAACAATTATTACGACAATCCACTTATATTTTTTGATAAACAGTTTGCAATCGTAGTTGATATTCATATTTTATTTTTTAAGGTTGTTCCAATATTTATCTTGGCTTATTGTCCCATTTTTTCTTAATTCAACAGCACCACATTAAACGTCTGAACAAACACCTAGCCTTCTTTGGCTAAAAATAGTAGTGGTCTATTTAATTCGGAAATCGTCTTGCCAGATGTTCAATAAACAATAAAAACCCAAACAAAATTCATACATAATACTATTGCACATTTAGTTGTTGTTGTTGTCGTTTTCTAAACGGGTTGTGTGTGCGCCGCGATTAGTTTGCTGCAAATCAACCACTACAACGCGGCAGTCATATGGAAAATGTTTGCTTGGTAACAACATCCAATTGTGGTTAAAAATAGAGAAAAAATGCAACACCAACAACAACAAAGGTGATTAAAAAATATTAATTTTTGTTTGTAGATATGAAGTAACTACTTAGGGTAATGGAACTTTGATCTCGTAAACTGACAAGTGTCCTCTTTTAGTTTTTGTCTTCCTCTCTATCTTTCTCTCTTCATCCTTCTTTTCCTTGGCCTTTTAAATAAAATTAGAAAAGTTCATTATCATTAACAAACCTCAATACGATTTTGGAATATGGAATTTACCTATTTATTTTAAAAATGTTAATAGATTGTACTTTTCACATTGTTATTCTTTTTTTCTATTAACAAGTGGTTCATATTCAAGTTGACGTCACCTGTTAATCACTCTCTGTGAATGATGTTTGTCCCCACTTTCGATGTTCAAGAATATTTTTGATGTTTTTTTTTGTAATTTACAAAAACTTTTGCTGCATTTATATACTTATTATCAATTTAAATTTTATTTAAGCTATCTTTAGCCCCAAACACAAACAATTCTTTAAAATAAATTTCCAAGATTTCCATTCAGTTGACGTCAACTCTGAGACTTTGTTAAAGGTATTGTCTTATTGCAATATTAATGACAAAAGCTAATTATTTATAGGTATTTATTCATTTTATTTTATTTGGGAACTGTAACGTAAAAGCAATATTCCTATTCATACTGATCCAAAATGACGTAAATGCAATGGCAGCACCAACATTCTATAAAGTTTATATATTTAATTGTATACAATATAAGTTTAAAATGATTCATTAGGGCTCCTTTTAAAATATTTTATATTTTCCCAGATGTTCCGACAATTATTTTTCTCCTGCAATCAGATTTGTTATAGCACCTGTAAATTTCCTTGAAAATTCTTTGTCTCTGAGCCTGTGTTGTTAATGAGGTTTGATTAGTTTGCTATGTATGTTACTAATTTACAGTGAATTACAGTTCTTACATAATATCTTAAATGTATTGTCGTTTTCTTTTGGAATTCTGATACAGAAAATTTGTTGCATTTTCTTAAAAACTACAAAACGCAGAAATAAATTCTTCAATAGGTGACACGTTTTATTTAATGTTACTTAAACAATTATATTTGTACATTAAACTTTTTCCTACATTTGCCATGTTAATCACTTGCAGTGGACAGCAATTCATGCTCTCCCTCTCTCAAATGTGTTGTTTAACTTTTTGATTTTGTTACAGAAATTAGTTGAATTTCCATATAAATTACTGAATTATATCCCTAAGCTATATTCTTTGACATCTTTTTATTTTATTTTTATTATTATTATCACTTTGTCCTAGATTTGCCATGTAATTCTATCCACGTCGGCTTCAACTCTGCAGGGCTCTCTTGTAGTGATGCTGCGCGTCGTTTCTTTGGTTTAATTGCAAATTTTGTTACAGTTCACTAGGTAATTACATTCTGTTTTCACGCAAAATGCATCGCTTTCCTTTTTTTTATTACACTTTGGATTAACAAAACTTTTTCTATTGAATTTCTTGTGTTTGCCATTAAAAGTACTTGCGAGAATATCACCTGTTGTTGCTCACTTGTCAGTAGAAGTTGTTTGGTCGTAGACGTACAGTACGTAAAGTAGCGACTGTAATTCACTGTAAATTGATAACTCCTTTGGACATATTTAGTATTATTGCATTTCTGCTAATTTTTTTTAAAAAACATTAGTTTGCGATAGAAATACACTTTCAAGTTTGTTTTGTACTGCTAGTGGGAAGGTATTCTTTATATAATTTTGTTTAAAACATTTGTTGGTGTGTTTTTTGTGGCAAAACAGCAAAATTTACATAAAATTTCATGAAGTAAAATATTATAAAAATCAAAAGAAATCTTGCTTCGTGAAACTTCTTTTGTCTAAATTCAGAATCTTAAAAATTTATTTTAACCACTCTTTTGCTGTAAATAATGTACGTAATACCGAGATGATTTGTTGTTTCCCTATTTAAAAAAAATGTATTTTTTATGTATTTTACTAAAAAACTACAATATTCTTAAATAATAAACATTGTATAGGTTGTGGCGTGATTGAATTTTTGAATTGAAATGAAGAATATTCATGATACCATTTTATATCATAAGAAATGGAACAAAACGTAGACCCTTTTTTCTATCCCTTACTCCTGATGCACAACTATTCTATATACCTATACATTTTCGTTTTTTTATTTTTATTTTGCATCTCTTACATATTATTACATCAAGCCAAACCCCCAGCACATAACTTTCGATGTAAACTTCCATCACGCCACAAATTATATGTGGATAAACAAGTTTTTTTCTTTCTGTTTGTAATACCAACCATCATTATTTTTTTAATTTCATTGAATAATAAACATATAAAATCCACAAGATATTTTTACCTATATAAAAAAAATCGAATTAAAATACTGTAGTATTGAATATAATTTTCTTCTTCTTTTTTGTTTGTTACAAAAAAACGATATATAATTGTAAAAACAAAGTGTTTTATTTTTTTTTACTTTTAATTATTATATTTTCTTTTCAAATAAGATAAGATGTTGTTGTCGTTGTTGTGTACAGCAAAAAAATCATATTCTTTCTCACACTACACTAATCCTCTCCAAAAAGAAAGATGAATGAATATCTTAGCACATAATTTATGGAGAAAAAAGTTTAACAACAGAATAATAAAAAAAAAAGAAACAAAGAAAAAAGGAAAAGAAAAGCTTTGGAATTGGAATGCTCTCAAGTTGTACAAATATGAAAATGAAAACTGTTGTTGATTTGTTAATAAAAAAAAAGAATTAAAATCAAAAAATATATATAAAACAAATTGGTATATTATCATTACTATAGATCTCTAATAATGTCACAACTCTAGAACCCTATCTCGGCGAAAAATGACAACAATCGAACATGTGTTCTTTTTTACGATTTTGTTCCTTTTTAACGATTTTGTTCTGCAGAAATAAATATTTTAATAAAATTTAATTTATAAGCTAGTACCATAACCATTTTCGATTGTTATATGGAAAATATCCTATTAAACAGTGTCTCTTTTTATTTGTGAATGTTGTTATGCCAATACCACTTAGTGGCAGGTTACGGTGTTGGCTGTTTGGCTGACGAATTCCACAAAACGTAAAATATAGGAGGAGGTCATCCAGCCATCCGTCCAGCGCTGTAGACTTGGTTTCTCAGTTTCTGCATGGTGATAAGCCGACAACGCAGCCGCCACCACCGTTACCAAGCCGTCATCGTCGCACCTGTTTTGTTGTTGGCTGTTGCCTGCCGTGATTACTTGTGTAAAAAAAGAAAACAAAAAACACTGTTGCAAAATTGAAAATCTAAACCCCGATTCGAACAGTTTTTGATTTATTTTATTCTTATTTTATTTATTTTTTTAATTTATCACGCATTTTTGTGCAACACACATAGGTGAAACGTGGCAGAAAACAAAAAAAAACGAAACGCAAATCAATAAACCGAAATTAAAAACCAGAAACTGAAACTAAAATTAAAAGAAACGAAAAACGCAAGATAATCGAAAAAAAAAAAAACAAAGACTTTTTATTTCCACATTTTCCTGTGTGAAACGACCACCACCACCACCGCCACCTTCATCATCGCCACTCTAACTCATCACCAATTATAAAAGAAAATTAAAAACAAAAAGAAAACAAATACAAACATAAACTTGGAAGCGGAAAACGCTGTGAGAATCTTTGTAGATTGCATAAAAAAGAAAAGAAAATAATTGCAATACACAATGCAAATACAGAGTACAAATGAGTAAGTAGGTCTAGGTGGCAATGTGACGTTAACTTGGCGTATTTTGAGCGTATTAAGCGCTTTAAAGCGTCATATCACAATTATCACCCACCCTACCCTTCTAAACTACTACTATTGCCACTAGCAATCAAAGCAAACACCATGATGCCGCCGACGCCATCGTTGTTATAAGGCAACAATGCTGATGGCGCCGGTTGTAACCCTGTGCCTATTCCAACCAAAAAACAATATATATTTTTTTTTATATAATCACATTCTATTTCACACCAAAGAACCAGTTATTCATTCATCCATTTCCATTCATTGTCTGATATTATTGTCCAACTCCTCCTCCTTCTCCTCCTGCTATTCACATCTGTTTCTTCTTCTTTCTTACCTATATGCATATATATACGTACCCATCTCTATATACTCCCATCCAACCAAGCAAATCGGAAAACCAAATAAAACCAGACCACCAATCCATTCATCCGTCCAATTTTGTAGCCTGTGTCTGTCTTCCTCTTTAATACACGTCGCCGACGTTACCACTAGACATATTTTTTTGTACAACAAAGAAAAGCACACACAAGATCAAATGAAAAATGTAAACATCAAAAATGCTCTTCCATTCCTTTGTTTAATGCACTGCAGTAGGAACATTATGATAGGCTTGAGACTAGAGAAGGTTATAAACTGATTGAATCGAACAATATGGGCAAGTAGCAGGCACCTAATTTGGTGTCCCCACTGATCGGCGACTATGACTGTCAGATATAGTCTCAATACCTATAGAGGGGTTTAATGGGGTGGTGCATCAATGATATCACTGGAGTAATTTCATTGTTCTATCTTAATTGACATGCCAATTTGGGAGTCTCAGTATCTAGCTTCGCACAATGCAGCCCATTATTGTAGAAACCTGTGAAATATTGCATTTTTATTACTATTTCAGGAAATAGCTATAACTTACGGAAGTACTTTCTGCTTCCACTCACCTTTGGTAGAAGAATTTTTGGGCAACAGAAGACATTTTACAATTTTCCCAATGTGTTACTGTTTGTAATACTTTATTTATTTTTATTTCAAAAAATACTGTTCATTGTTTTTTAAATATGTTTTGTCGGAAATATATGATTCCACTTTAAATATTACAAATTTACTTTGCAATTATAAGATTGCAATTGGCCAAAGAAAATGGCGAGAGTATCAGCTGATAATGACTGTGAAATAAGGTATGGTTAGCGGTCAACGTAAGGTAATGTGCGTAATGTGACGTAACAGCATTTAGACGTACATTGACCTTTTAATTGCCGTAATGTTCACATGTATTAATGTAACATTTTGGGAATTGTTGGAATTTCTTGCTTTTTGGAAGAAAATTAACAAAACAAGGACAAAACATTAATTTGAAACAATTTTACTGAATTGGAAAATGGTTTACTCGTTTATTTTATATATATTATGAAAAATAATGGAAAAATCTTGTTTTTGATGGTAAAACCTTCAAGTAGCAAAGCCAAAATAGGGGGCTACCACTTACCTAGAAACCATTTTTTCCGATTTGCAGCGAAAATTTCAATTTTATAAGATCGGTCATACAATAAAACAATATGGGTCCGCCATTTTCACGATCGCTCATATTAAAGTTGGATAAGGGATAATACTTTTATTTTTCTTTCCAAAGGAATAGGTACCACTTCAAACAGACTTGCATATCTTGTAACCGGATAACCGGTTTCCCTTACCCAATTTCATTGTTGTTGTGCTCTTTTTAGCCAAAACTATTAAATAGCTTTGTTGTTGTTAGCCCATATAATACCCTACCGACTAGACGACAGACAGAAGAATATTTATGAGCAGCGCATACCAAACGTAAGAGGAAAAAAAAACGCAAAACCGCAATGCAAGACAGACCCGACAAGAAACGCAACACTTCTCCACACACATACACACACACACACACACACACCTCTAGTCCATCACTTCCCTGCAAACAAAACAAATGCACACACTCACACACCGAAATCAAAATGGCAAATAGTAACAAACAATATTTTGTATAATTTTTGCTTTATATTCGCCTTGCGCTTTATCGTCTTTTTTGCTTGCTTGCAGCTACTACTAAAACTCCTAATAGATCAGAGGCCGCCGCGCACAATGCTTACTTGAACGCTCGTTCGTTCGTTCGTTGGTTCCTTCTGTCTTTTTTTCAGTCATTCTCTCTACGGAACGATCCACTCAGAGCAGCGCGCTAGTTATTCGCGCACAGAAGAAACCAGACAAGAAAAAATACTGGTTTCTGTGGTACTTATTTAGAAAGTTGCTTGCTGGCAATATTAGCCAGCTGACGACAGGCATGTTTGGCTGACTGACAGACAGACCAGACAGACAGACATATGTACATTCCACTCATACATTCACATATAAATTCTCTCTCTCACAATAAACTCAATTACCGTGATCAGCCGTCGTGGTGTGGTGTGCCTACGACTACGACGTTGTCAGGCCAACAATTTCAAGTAGATAGCAGTTTTACTAACGGCTGATCCACAAAAAACCTGCTATGAGAATTGTTAAGCTTTGAAATGCCAACGTTAACGACGCAATCATTTAGCTGTTGATCGACAATGCCAACGTCAACAACACAGCAGCCAGCCAGCCAACAAAGCCAACAATGAATGGTTTGGTTCGGTTCGGCAATGTCGTTCGTTCGTTTGTCGTTGTTGTATTATTGCATGTTCAAATGCAATAGGTCGTCGACGTCGTCATTGTGGATAGTCGATCGGTCGTCACTAGTTAGTTATATGCTGCTAGTATATGTCGTCGTAACGTCTGTCTGTGCCGTTGGGTTGAGTTTTTTTTTTTTTTGTCTTTTTGGTTTCTTGCAAAGAATTTCACTTGTTCTACATTTTTGCATCGCCGTCATGTTGTCGTCGTCGTCGGCAAGACAAGAAGTAACAGAGATAACTTGATTCTTGCACCACTCACACACAGAAACATGCCTACCAATATACCAACAAATTTTCTCTCCAATAACTCTCGGCACAACACCAAAAAATAACTGCTGCTGATGAGGAGGTATGTGAGACGAACAAAAATAATCAAACGGATTTTTAAAAGTTGTAAGACAACTAAACACAAATAGGTTGGTTGGTGGTATGCCAACAATTTCAAAAATTCTGGAAAAGTTGGTCAACAAATTCCCCCGTTTGAAAATCTCCAAACATTCCACAAAATCAATGTGAGAACTAAGAAAATACTAGAGAAGAGAAATTGTTAATTTTCTTTTTTTTGTCATTTGCCGTTCTGTGAGCATGTCCTCTACTCACATCTCAGAGTGAGAGAGAGGAATTATGCAAATCATCATTTACTTATTGAGAAATTTATTTTGATTTGGTTTGTTTTGTTTTAATGGCAGGCAATTGTGAGAACGTGGCATTTTTTTTTTTAATATTTTGAAAACTTATAGGTATGTAAATAAAGTTATAAATTGCAACGTATGAGTAACTTGCAAATAATTTACAAGTGGAATGTTAGGCCACAACTAGAAGTTATTTTAGCGCGAAGGAAGAAAAATTGAAGGAGTAAATAAATGTGAACGTTGATATATCAAAGTATTACATTCCAAAACTGAGCGTTCTTTTAAAATACGTCGAATAATATTCACAGGATTTTATGAATACGATTTACGTGACGTATAGTATACGCTATGGAATAGAAAATTGAGATCGAGTGGATTTCTTCAATCTAAACTTACTTTTAGACTCATTAAGCCGAGTCGAGGATTTCCACTGTAAATTCCATTGCGTATACGTCAACCGAAATCAACTGGATTTGAGATGCAGTTCCATTCGACGTATACGCAATGGAGTTGACGTATACGCAATGGAGTTGACGTATACGTAATGGAATTTACAGTGGAAATCCTCGACTCGACTTAATGAGTATAAAAGTACGTTTAAATTTATGAAATCCACTCGATCTTAAATTTCAATTCCATAACGTATACTATACGTCACGTAAAATCCAGTGAATATTGTTCGACGTATTCGTCATGGAATTGACATTTAATTGGTGGATTTCGTAAACTTGCCAGGTTATTGGGGACTTCTTCCATAAAATGAGATTGAATTGGATCCAAGCAACATGTAAAGTAATCTATGAAATTTTCCCCACCCAACATATCCTCAAATTATTTATGGTTTACTGGTATATTTTCTACCTTGAATGCACATATCTTTCTCAATGAAATACGAATTTTAGACCTATTTCTTAAAATATTTCTGTTGTTTTTTGTTTGCATTTGCCACTGCCAGCCAGTCAGCCTCACTACTACTTCATCGTGTCACAAATTAACTGCAAGCAACAACAGCAGCAGCAATACTTCAAGAATCACTGCAATGACAAACATACCATGTGGCTGTGCTGTTTTGTTGTTGTTGTTTGAGAAAAGAGGGCCGCACCACTAAAGTGAGTGGCAAGCATGCATTCACGTACCAAAATGAACAAAAACAAGAAAAAAAACCAAAACTTGTTTCATTTTTGTCACGGTGTAGTTTGGGGGAGGAGAGGGGGAGGCGTATGAGTGTTTGCACTAATCTATTTCCCCCAAAACCACGGCAACCTGTTGTACTTTTTTGTTGTTGTATCTATTTCATCAAATAGAGTGAATGAGTAGTGAGTGGACGACGACGACGACAAAATTAAACAAACCTATTTTTATTTAAAATCCTATTTGGTTGCTTTGGTGTCTGTTTTTTTTTGTTTTTTGTAGAGCAATGCCACCAACAGAATAATTGATGAACTATGATAGCCCTCTGTTCATTTCTTAAACATTTGACACCTTCCCACATACACACACACACGTGCTTACTCATTGTGGGAGAGATCTCATTCATTTGTAGTGAGAGGAGAAAAAATAATTCGAAAGAGAAATAAAACTCATGAATAACATAACCTAAAAAAATAACAATTTAAAATGTTTGCTGGCACTTTGGTTTGTTTTTGCTTCTCCAACTTGTTGTCGTTGTTGTTGTTTTTTGTTTCTTCTTTTCTTTGTTGCCCCGTACAATTGGAATTTTCTTATGACAAGTGTGAGTCAATCCCAATGGCATGCATCATTGTTGTTGTTGTCATCGTCGTTCATTATTGTTTGCTCTGTGGATTTTCACTCTCTATTTCTTCCGCCTGGTAGGAAAACAACAGCAAAAAAAAGACCAATACCCCCATGCATTTACAATATGTCATAAACCCCGTGTAAACTTGTGGTAGAAGCAAGCTTTGTTGCCAGCAACAGAAAGCAAACGAAAAAGTTGACAATTTCTTGGAGATGCACTAATGGAAAATTTAATTGGGGAGAATTATAATAATAGTTTTTTATTACTTTTTGAATATTAGGTGTTGTAGAGTGTTCACACTACTGAATGTCATCAGACCACTGGGTTTAATAGATTAGTAATGGGTGAACCCACCTTGTTTTCATACATCTTTGAGAGTATAAAATTGTGGCTAATACAAATACAACCAAAAATTGCAAATAATTACTACCCGTAGTTAAAGGCATTCCAAGCTATATTATTTAAATAATTGTTGAAAACTAGTTGCAATATCGGGTTTACACTATTTAAGATTAATCTACTGTGTTTAATAGTAGATTAGTAGTGGGTGAACCCACCTTGTTTTCATGATGGTTGAATATTAGTTGTGTTATAACACGCGCTTAAACTTGATCTGTTTCAGAACTGCAAGAATGTAAAAGTTTTTACTACGATAACCGATTTTCACTTTAAGATATCAAAAAAAAAGATCAAAACTGGTACTTTCTGACAGGTACTAGAACAAAGCAACTAATTTCTCAGATAATCTTCACATTTTCGTATCTGGTAATTACATGGAAGAAGAATACAGGTAGCCGCACCGATACAGCTGTTGGTACAATGAACTGTCAAAACGATTTTGGAATTGAACATTTTGGATGACAAATTATTGAAATTTGTGAAAATTGTCGAAAAATGCACCGCAAAAGAAGAAATAAATAAATATACCTATTTTTGACAAAACTTTTTAAAAAATTTGACATATCAATGTTCCCAAGCGTTGATGCCTCTACCTGTATTCTTCTGTCATGGGTAATCATCACTCTAATACCATGTTCTCATTAGCAATTGAACAACATTGTTCGTCCTCTAAAGTGAAGTACTTTCTTTAATACCATGTTCACATTAGCAATTGAACAACAGTGTTCGTCCTCTAAAGTGAAGTACTTTCTTTAATACCATGTTCTCATTAGCAATTAAACAACATTGTTGGTCCTTAAAAGTTAAGTACTCACTCTAATACCATGTTCTCATTAGCAATTGAACAAAGTACTCGAATTATCGTATTTACACGACATTATTTTCAGGGAATTCACATATTTTTCATGATTTTTATAGGAATTAGAAGGAACATTTATATTAAATACGTACTCGCCGACATGAACAAAATTTGACATTTTTACTACTTTTTCATCTCCGTACTTTCTAGGGAAATAAGCTCTCTTTTAGAGCGATTGTAACAATCCTATCTTTTATCGTTAAATTATGGGAAAAAACAATTTTTTTAGAAAAAAAAAAAACGAATAGCTGGCATTTCACGTGCCATGTGAACTTGGTATAAGTTTCGAAGAGATTGATGTAAAACATTTTGCTGAAATGTTTTTTTTTTGACTGGCTTAAGTCATCGGCTGGCTTCTTTGTAGAGGAACAAAGAAGTTTTAGCCGATGACTTAAGCCAGCCAAAGAAACGTTTTATGTATTTTCATCTTAAGTTTGCAAAGTTTTCGGGGATTGAAAAATGGGATCTATCAAACCATGCTTTGGCAAAAAAATGTCTTGCAAAAATTTTCGGATCCTTGCTTTCATATATTCGGCATGCCCGAATTTAATGAGTAATTTTAAAACTTGTATCGAACTTACAAAGGAAAACTGAGTGTACGGAAAACCATGCTTTGGCAAAAAAATGTCTTGCAAAAATTTTCGGATCCTTGCTTTCATATATTCGGCATGCCCGAATTTAATGCCTAATTTTAAAACTTGTATCGAATTTACAAAGGAAAACTGAGTGTACGGAAAACGATGAGTCAGTTTTCCTTCCATTGTGAATATCAATTTTTTTAAATCTTAAAATAATACCTTTTACATACACCCTCCTCCCATTTCATCAGCCAACCAACACCAATGCAAACTCAAATGACCCTTCCCCCCAAGTTGCTGTTACTCCCTGAATTCCTTTCCTAGTGTTGCTTCTTTTTTATTTGTTGTTTTTTTTTCTTTTAATTTTTTTTATATGCACTTTGGTGTGGGTCTATGTGTGGGGTTAAGTTTTTTTGCTGTACAATTTGCGGCAGCAGCATCTTCATCATCATCAAAATCAAAATCACATCATCATCATTTATCTAATTAAGAATATGTTTTTATGTTGGTGTGGTTATTAACATTGCCATCATCTTCAGTATTATCTTTATTATTAATATATATTAATATTTTTGCATGTTATTTATTAATTGTCAAAATAATTCCTTTTTAATCCTTGTGTTTTTTCGTATTTATCAATCCTTCTGTGTGTGTGTTTCATTTATCTCTTATTATTATTATGATCATACAAAACACAATTTCGCTCACCACCCACCAAGCACACACTATTGATTTCAACTCTTCCTCTCTCTCTCACTTTATATCTCTCTATCTCTCAATCTGTGTCTTTTTTTATAAACGCATACCAATACTACTAACCCATTACTGATATAATTAAAATCTTTTCTCTTTTCTTGCCGCAAAAAATGTCATATGTATGTCAAAAATGAATATCTGAATGCAAACTAAAACGAAACAAACGATGAATGTGAATGTAACCAAACCAAATACAACAAAAATAAAAACCGAAAAAACCAAAAACGACATGAATTGAATGTGGAAAAAAACATGCCAACGATCGTCGTGAAATCTATTCTCTCCACCGACCCACAAAATAGGTCTTTGAAAGATCCTCCTATGTTCGTGCATCCGGGAGGGGGTGGGAAGGGAATACGCCCAAATCAACACAGCCAACAACAACAACAGCAGCAGCAGGGTCAACAGCATCATCATCAGCAGGTACATCATCAGACACACCACCAACAGCAGCCTCACCAGCCCCAACAGGTCCAGCTACAAACGGCCCCCCTGCACCACAGCAACCAGACGTCAGGCCAGGCATCCGGCGGAAATTCCCACCCTCACACACATCAACAACAGACGGCGGCGCCACCGCCCCACCAGCAAGCCTATACGACGCATCCCCAAGTGCCCGTCTATTTCCACTATCCGCTGAATCAAATACATCCGCAGGCGCCCACCAGTTCAGGTCAACATCATCCTGGTCAGAGTGCGGGCAGTAATATTGGCGGAGCCCAATTGGCGCCATCACCTCCAACACACACAGCCGGCGGCAATGGGGCACAAGGCGGTGGCGGGCCAGGCGGTAATGGTGCCGGAGCTGGCGGTGGCAACAATGCGTCGGGCAATGCCAACACAAATGTCGGGGCTGGTGGAGGTGGTCGCCAGGGCCAGGGTGCGTCCAATACGATATCGCATTACGCGCCGGCCGGTACCATCATTCAGTCGAACCTGCAGCCGCCCACAAGTAATCATTTCATGACGCAAGCACCCTATCCGCTGCAGATGCCACAACACAATACAATAATGATGTACAACAGTACATTGGCTGCTGCCTCTGCGGCGGCTGCGGGTCAGCATGGTACGCCCACGCCGGGACAAACGGGTTCCATCTACCAGACGGCCACACAAGCGCAGACCTCGGCAGCCCACCAACAGGCCACGCTGCGTGGCGCCCAACAGACTATGCACTACTATGCTCAATCAGTGGCCGCCCAAGCTCCAACCTCCCTGCATCATCCATCGCATCAAATACGAAATATGGCAGTCATGCCGCAACCACCCCACTACTACCTAATACAACAGTCGATACCACCGGGAACTCGAACATCCCTCATAGGTAACATCCACCAGCCACCGTCGGCCGCAAGTGCCAATTCGACGGTGCATGTGGGAGCGCAACTGCAAAATACGGGAACAAGAGGGGCGTCTGGCGGCCCCGGAGGCTTTGTACCCTCAACATTCTGTACGCCACCGCAAATGTCTGCCACAGGATCGCTGGCAACCCAACCGCCATCATTAATGACTGCCACTGGGCTGGGTGGGGCAACACTGGCCGGTACTTATGGTCATTTGGCCGGTTCGGCCGGTGGCTCTGGATCTTCCAATTCGCTCAGTATGTCGGGGGCAAGTGGGGCTGTCGGTATGGGATCTGCATCCGCTGTGACCGATCTTACTAAACGGCGCAGCAAGGCATTGCCCATTATAAATCCCGACACAATGGAAGAGATACGTTTTGAGCCACAACAGAATAAGAGCAGCTCGTCAGCTGCGCTGGAAATAAAACCACCACCAGAGGCGGAGAATAGGCCGGTGAAAACGATAACAATGACAGCACCGCCACCAGCCGAAACAACGACTAAAGGTTCTAACGAGAAGGCGGCGACTACTGCAGCGGCGCCGGCAACAACGGCGGCAACGACGACGACGACAACGAGCAGCAGTGCAGCACCGGGTGAGAACAAGGGTGAGACAAGCAATGCCGCAGATGTGAAAGATAAAATTGATCGACAAATGCATACCCCAGCCACGGCCACAACACCACAACAAGTTGTAGAATCCGCCACCGTGGAGCCTGTGCCACAACAAAGTCAGGTGGAAGAAAATGATGATACCGATGCGGAAACGCCAGAATTGGAGCATGATGATGATGCTGCTGTACCCCAAACTTCTGCTGTTACAAGCGGTGCCGAGGTGCCAAAGGAAAAGGCAATTACAAAGGAAAGTGAAGCCGCCGAAACCACAACGGCGACAAAGGATTCCAACACAGAAACGACAGCAACTGAGGCAACAACTACCAATACCGATGGTAATTACAAAATTCACCTACAAAATACTTATCCTCCTCTCTACCTATCATTACAAAAAAATATATACAACAACAACAAAACTACTACTACTACTATTACAACTACTACCCTATCTACCTACCACTGCTATCAAATTTTTGAAAATTGTAAAAACAAGAAAACTGTTAATCCTTTCGATTGTATGTACCTCCCTCCCTCCCTTCCCCCCTATCTGCCACTACTCTTTCTTCCATTCCTTTTAAGATTTCATATTTCACCAGACAAAAATCCTTTTTTTTTTCGATATTATAAACATACATTTACACATAGACTACAAATATGATATGTATTTTTTTAAATTTATTTCGTTTTATCTCAAAATAAGTGGAAAAGCATGGTAAAATTAATTAATTAATTAAAATTAGTTCTACCATGTGGAAAAGCTTGTTTTGAGGATACTAACGCGAAAATAGAATATTGTTTCCTCTGTTGACCATGTGTTGCGAAGTGACTTACACAATTTATACTTGGCATTATATATGTATTTTATAGCATACTTTTTGGCGCTCTCTGAAATTTTGAAAATTACAAGAAACTCATTCTATATACTACACGATATTTTATAATATGTTTGTACTATAATCATACTATATAAATATATATTTATATTAATTTATACTACAACATACGAGGCGTTTCTTTTTAGTTTCAAAATTGTGGCGAGCGCCTAAAAGTATGTTATAAAAATGCTATAGCTAAATATGGTCAAATCATATTTTTTATCTAAAATTAGAATAATTTTAAAATGTAAATAGCTATTTTTAAAACATGTTTTTTAAATGACAATATTTGACTACAATAACAAAATAGAGTTCTGTTTTGAAAATTTTTTTATAACCTACACCACAAGGTGGCCCACGGGGTATAATGTCTTTGTGCATTTGTTGTTGCATTTGTAACAGGCAAAAGGAAACGAGATAGACCCATATTTCATTTTTGAGGATCTGCATAGAATCACATTCTGAGTCGATTTATGCATTTATCCATCCGCCCCTCTGTCTGTCCATGTATTTTTGTAAACAAAGTACAGGTCGCATTTATTGCCAGATCCAGATGAAATTTTGCACAAGTCATTTGTTTGACCCAAGGACGAACCCTATTGAAATTGGAGATAATCGGTCAAAATTTAGATATAGCTCCCGTATATATCTTCTTCCGATTTTCCTTTTATTGTGCACCAAACGTGTAACATTAGCCCAAATGGGTTGGAATTCGGTACTTACGACCAAATTGAGTCTAGAAACAAGTATGTCAAATTTGATCGAAATCGGTTCAGATATAGCTATAGCTCCCTTATATATTGTTCATCCGATTTGTTATTTTTGTCCTCCACAGCCGTAATATGCACTCTGCAACAACGATATTTGGGGAAATATATCAAATACAGGACAGAAATACCTTTGCCAAATTTTATCGAGATCGGCTCAGATTTGGATATAGCTCCCGTATATATCTTCTTCCGATTTGCCTTTAATTGTGCACCAAACGTGCAATATTAGCCCAATTGGGGATTTGGTACTTATGACGAAATTGAGCCTAGAAACAAGTATGTCGAATTTGGTGAAAATCGGTTGGGATATACCTAAAGCTCCCTTATATATTGTTTATCCGATTTGTTGTTTTTTTTTTGTTATATAAAGCTCAAATAAATATACAAAGGGGTGTAGGAGGGTGTCATAAAGTCAAAATCTTCCTTAATTATTGATCTGTATTTAATTTTATCGTAGCTCTCTTAACAACAGAAATCAGCAGATCAAATATATATCCGAGAACGATCGATTGCAATTTTGTTTACATACAAAAATTGTTTGTTTTTTATGTAGAAATGTCTGGAGAAGCCAAAATCTCCTATAAATATTGATTCTAGCTGGATGGCACCAATGGAAAAAATATTCTGCATTAGATTTTAGCATTAGTTGCAGAACACGAGAAATCCGAAGATTCGATATATATCCGCTAAATTTCGGTTGCAATTTTGTTTACATACGAAAATTGTTCTTTTTTATGAAGGAATCTCTTGAGGCCAAAATCTCCAATAAATACTGTTTTTAGCATGGTGGCTCCAATGGAAAAAATATTCTTCATTAGATTTTAACATTACTTGCCGAACAAGAGAAATCGTAAGATTCCGTATATATCCGTGAAATATCGGTTGCAACTTTGTTTATATAGAAAAAAAAATTTTTTTTTGGGAGAAATTCCTTAAGGCCCCAAAATTTCTTATAAATATTGATTGTAGCAGGGTGACACCAATGAAAATTCTGTTCTTCATTATATTTTAGCATTCATCACAGAACAAGAGAAATCACTAGATTTAGTATATATCCGAGAAATATGGGTTGCCATTTTGTTAACATACAAAAATTGTTATTTTTTATGGAGAATTTTTTGGAGAAGTCAAAATCTCCCATAAATATTGATTCTAGCAAAATGGCACCAATGACAATTTTGTTCTTCATTATATTTTAGCATTAGTCGTAGAGCAAGAGAAATCACTAGATTTAGTATATATACCAGAAATATGGATTGCCATTTTGTTTACGTACGAAAATTGTTCTTTTTTATTGGAGGAGTTTCTTGAGGCCAAAATCTCCCATAAATATTGATTTTAGCATGGTGGCACCAATGAAAAAATTATTCTTCATTAGATTTTAGGATTACTTACAGAACAATAGAAATCGAAAGATTCCATATATATCCGTGAAATATGGGTTGCAACTTTGTTTGCATACAAAAATTGTCGATTTTATGGAAAAATTTTCTTGAGGCCAATATCGCCTACAAATAATAGTTTAAGGAAGATGACGCCAATGGGAAAAATATTCCACACGAAATTTTATCATAAGCCTCCGAGCAAGAGGAGTCTGTAGAATCAATTGTTGTGCCTGAAATAGCGTTTGCAAATATTGTTAAATTTAAAAATATTTTTTTTATGAAGAAAATCTCATCTCATTTTCGATATGGAGCCAAAATGACCCTCAATTATTGATTTTAGCGTGATGGTTTCAATGCAGAAAATCCTCCCCATCACTTTTAATACAAAGTCTTCAATGAGAAGATTTTGCTAGAGATTATAGGTTTCATATAAAATAGGGAAATAAATTTGAAATTATCAAAAACTTTTTTTTTACAAAAAGTCGTCCAATTTCCAACCTAAGGCAAAAATCTCATTAAATTATTGATTTTATGAAGATGGTGTTAATGAAAAGCCGATTCTACTCCAAATTTCACTATTAGTTCCCAACCAAGTAAAATGGGTACGGCTGCTTTAAATCCCTAAAATATGAGGCATCTAATTTTTTAATTTTTTTAAGATGGAATTTTTTCTTTTTTTTGCAAAAATATAAAAATGATCCTACCAACTGATATTAGGTCAATGGAAATATTTTCAATCGATTTTTCATTGGAATAAAATATCAAATTTTTTTTGTTTTTGTTATGGATATCATTCCCAAGGAAATTTTGATATCATTTCACCTTTATTATCTATTATTAAGCCTTTAACATGAAAATATTTTAGGCTGTTTTTATATATTATATTAAATTGTATATAATAAATGAAATGAAACAATTGAACATGTAGCCAAATATTGTATTTAAAATATGTAGTTATGTATGTTTATAATTGACAAAAAAAAAGAGAAAAAAACAAAACCTACAATCTTCCCAACCAACCAACACTATTATCACCCTCCGCCACCTAAACTACTATTTACCACCACTACCAAAACACCTACTACTACTACCACCACCAACCAACCAACCACCTTCCACACCTTAGCTCCTCTTCCGATGCGTACTCCAAAAATGTTCTATTATTAATCGTTACGATTCGATTTCTTTTAGTAACACCAGTGGCGCAAAAGGAAGATGACGCCGGTGTAAATAAACAGCAACAACAACAGCAGCAGAAGCAACAACAACAACCTGTAACAACAGGTCATGTTGCAAAAGAATCATTTGTTGAACAGATCGCCAAACAACAACAACCACAACAGTCATCATCAAATACCGCCACCACCACCACCACCAATTCCTCTTTAGATACTAACAAATCCAATAACAACAACAACAAACAACACCAATCACAGGGCAAGATTCCAACAAATGCCACAACGGCTACTACTGGTGGTGGTAGCTCTACGCCATCATCATCTGCCGGGGTAGACAAGTCAACGAGAGAAGAAACAAATCGAAAGGATGCTGAACATGCAAAGATTCCAAATAAGAAGGATGCTGCAACCCATGAGGAAATTACAACAAACAAAGAACTAAGTAATTATTCAACACCACTTCTACTTCTAGACATTTTTCCTTTTTTTTTGGAGGGCCAAATTTCTTGGCCTGTTTTTATAAGTGTAGTAGTTGTAAAAATTGTAGTAGTCATAGTAGTTGTTGTTGTAGTAGTTGTAATGAAAATTAAATTAAGAGTAATTTTGATATGGCCAAATGACAAAATGAAAGTCATTCAGTCAAAGTGGTGAGCTGTGTGGGGTGAAGGGGGATTCTGTCACTTCACCTCCAGAATCGGAGAAAAAAAGAAAACTTGATATTTAACGGGGAGTCTTTTCGAAGGTTAAGAAAAAAAAAAAAAAAACAACAGACTATTGTGTCTGTCCGTCTGTCTGTCGTCATAGAACGGCATGTTTTTTTTTTTTTTAAAGAAGTCAAACTAACCCAATCCTTGTTTTTCCCAAAAAAAAAAAAAAAAAACGTATTGTATTGTAGGGAAAATCCCAACCCAACGACTTTTCCAAATTATCAACTTGAGAAGCATTAATTCCCAACAGTTTTTCACAAAACATAAAGCGAAAACAAAAAAACTTTATACATTTTCAATATTTTGTAACAAAAAAAAAAAAAAAAAAACGAAATTCCCCAGCAATTTTAGGTGAAGAACACCGACCGATCGTCAAAAGACATTTCTTTATATTTGTCTGCCTGTCCCTCCATAATTTTAATTATTATTATTCTGTGTGAACGCCAAGAATGCTCTGTGTCTTCTAAGTTCTTGCTGCTGGACGACCAACCAAAGTGTTTCCCAAGCATAAACCCCCACCACCTTCTCCTCCAACACACACGCATTATCTAGCTCTCTCATCGTGGTTGTCGTCTTCGGCGCGACAAAGATTATTACCACCCACCCACAGTTTCACAGTTGAACAAAAAGATGGAGCAGCAATCGCTCTCCCTCTCTCTCATTCTCTCTATCTGTTGCATCACATTTCACGTTCAAAAATTCATTCGTCGTCTGCTGCTTCTTTCAATTCAAAATCGTTTTTGTGACTCTTTTGATTTTTTTTTGTCTTTGACAAGACGCGTCGCGTCGTCTTTTCGTCTGCATCGTGCAAACATTGTTGTTTCTCATCTCTCCCACATACGACGACGACGACGACGTACATCTAATATCAAACATTCATTTGTTAATGCCCCAAAAAGAGGCATTCTTCCTCTTCGGCTGCTGAGTTTTTTTATTTTTATTTGAAAATACAAAATTTGAAAATATTTTTCTTACTCATAAATGCGCTGAATGAAATTCTTTAGAAATTCTTGATTTGTTGGTAGTAGGTAGTGAGTGATCAGTAGTTGTAGCAGCAGTGAGTATAGCCATGCATTTTTTTTGTTCAAACGAAGAGACTCCCTCCCGCGTACTTGGATATTTTAACGTGTAGAATAGATTTTAAATCCCCCTCAAACGGACACCACCACTCACCTCCACCGCCACCACCATTTTTATTCTTAATTTAATTAACAAAAAAAAAATTGTAAAATTATTTTAGAAGCATTTTAAATGTTTTTTTCTTCTGCAAATAACACTAATCTCAAATCTCTCTGATATTCCAGATATTACAACAAAAACTACAACTACTAGCAAGGACCATCATCATCAAGGAAAGACCTCAACCTCAACAGCAACAGCTAATACTAAAATGGGAGCCAATACCACCACCACGCCATCTATTGGTAATGTAAATACGAACAAGAAAGGTGATGCTGCCGCCAAGCCAACAAGCAACAACAATATGCCATCATCGAATCCTCCTCCTGCAGGCCCGGCCGCTGCCAACAATGCCATGGATGCCAACAACGACGATGCCTTTATAACTGTGAGCAATCGCAAGAAGAATAAGGGTAACAAGCAGCAGCAGCAACAGCAACAACAACAGCAGCAGCAACAGCAACATCAACAACGTACCAAAGATAATCAAAAGAAAACGCAACAACAGCAAAGGCCCCAACATGAGCGCAGCAATTCGACAGCATCAAATGCTAGCAGCAACAATAAATCGCATAACAACAATAACAATAGAGGAAACAATGCTTCGGCCGCAGCCGCAGCCGCCGCTGCTGCAGCAGCTGTAGCAACAACTCCAACCGCAACAAATGTTCAATTGACTGATATTCACAATGCAAATAATAGTTCAGTTGCCAATAATAACAACAACACCAATAACAATAAACAAGCCCAAAGGCAGCAATCGACAACAACAACAGCAACAACTAAGGAACCTCAAACAGCAACAACTGCTGCCAATAATAATAATAACAACAACAATAATGATACCTCCAAGACAGCCGGTGGTGTAGAAACTAAAGGTATGTATTTATTTTGGATATATATAAATAAATATATGTCAACATAATAATATATCAATCTCCATAGGAATACTTAATATTACGCCCAAACTTTATGTCTCCCGGTAAAAAGGCTTGGCGGCGAAGCTATTTGATTTATATATGAATGGGGGAAAACAGAAGCTTTTTGTATACAATTTTATTTATTTTTTTTTTTTTGAAGAGCAAATGCCTTAGTACCCCCTGCAACCTCAATGCTTGATTTTAGGTTCTTGGTGTCAATGGAAAATATGTTCCTCATCAAATTTCATTATAGGTCACCAACAAAAAAAAACTGACTCGAGGGGATAGATATCCTCAAAAAAGTTGGCATCAAATTTGGTTACTACATAGAAATATTATTTCTTTTGGGCAAACTACGTTGTGCTAAGTACCCACTGCAACCTCAATGCTTGATTTTAGGTCCTTTGTGTCAATGGGAAATATGTTCCTCATCAAATTTCACTATAGGTCACCAACCAAAAAAACTCACTGGAGGGGATAGATATCCTCAAAAAAGTTGGCATCAAATTTGGTTACTACATAGAAATATTATTTCTTTTGGGCAAACTACGTTGTGCTACGTTTCAATATGGCCTCTGCCATATTTTTGAAAGAGGTCGATGATGCTAAAAGGGGAAAGCATACCCTATCATCTTTTACTATAAACCTTTAAAGAGAAATAAGCGGATAGAGTTTGTATATAACATTAAATATTCGGTTCCAAATATTAATAAACACATAATAATGAACAGAAAATGTTCTCTTTTACTTGAGGTCAAAATCTCCCGCAATAATTGCTTCTATGTAGATGATGCCAAAGGGGAAAGTATTCCTTATCAATTTTCCCTCTTAATTTTAACGGAAAAGTAATCGGTTGGTGAATGTATGTAATATTAAATATCCGGTTCTAAATATAAATACGTATGACATTTTGTGTTCTGTTCGGCTTGAAGCCAACATCTCCCGCAATACTTGCTTTTAGGTCGATGGTATTAAGGGAGAAAATATTCCTGATCAATTTTTACTATTAACTACCAAACAAATCTATGCAGATAGTGCATGTATATAACCTTAAACATGCGTTTCCAAATTTAAATAACAAAACATCATTTTTTGTTCATACGACTTGAAGCCAAAATCTCCCGCAATATTTGCTTTTACGTCGATGATGCCAAAGGGCAAAGTATTCCCTATCAATATTCCCTCTTAATTTTCACAGAAATATAATCGGTTAGTGAACGTATGTAATATAAAATATCCGGTTCTAAATATAGCATATGACATTTTGTGTTCTGTTCGGCTTGAAGCCAAAATCTCCCGCAATACTTGCTGCTTCTAGGTATATGGTGGTAATGGAGAAAATGTTGCTTATCAAATTTCACTAATAACTACCAAGCAAATCTATTCGGATAGTATATAACATTAAATATCAGGTTACAAATTTAAATTCCGAAGAAATTTTTTTCATTCGCCTTGCAGCTAAAATCTCCCGCAATTCTAGCTTCTAGGCATATGATTATAAGAAAGAAAATATTATTCGTCTTAATTCATTATAAATCTCCAACAAAAAGTAATCGGTAGTTATTGTATATATCCTGATATGCCCGAGAACAAATTTTGTACTCCATGAAAAAACAACATTTTTTGGGAAAAGATTTTTTTGTCCTGAAATGACCAACAAAACTTGGCTGTACATCGATGGTGTTAATGGAGAAAATATTCCTCATCAGATTTTACCATGAGTCTCCAGCCACAAGAAATCCCTAGGGATGACGTAAAAAAATCCATGACCAAATTTGGCTAAATTCTTTTTTTTTTTTTTTTTGGAAAATTTCATTTTTCCATTTTGCATAAAATTTCTCCCAGTAGTTGCTTCTAGATCGAGGCTGTCAATGGAAAAGATATTCCTTATCATATTTCAATATGAGATTTCAACTAAAATAAATCTCTAGTGATTCTATATTACCTTAGAAATCCTGTAACCAATTGAGGTATTGCAAAAAATAAATACATATTTTTTAAGAAAATCATTTTTCTTCGTCCTAAAATAACCTATAATGCTTGCTTTTGGACTTAAAAGTGAATCTTCCAATATGGAAAAGTGTCTGTATTAAAATTCTGAACTATTCTTTGATTGAGAAAAAAATTGAAGACAATGTTTGCCAATTTCTTGAGGAAAATTATTCCTAAAAATGTTTTGATATATCAACAGTTTTTGGAAATGTTCAGTTCTCGTGTAAGTTTTGATGGGCCCTAAATATTTACTGTATGTCCTTTTTGTTTCTAGATCTACACGATCCAGTACTTCTCATGGAGATTGATATAAATACACATTCAATATTTTTTTCCTTTTAAATTTATATGATTTAATAACCCATTTCTTTTCATTTAATCAGATAATGACAACACTGCGACAGCTGCAGCCTCCGCCGCTGCTGCCCCTGGCAAGCATGTTAAGACCCAGGAAATTGTTGAACAATTCATACAACCCTCAGCAAAATCCTCAGCTGCCGAAACTAAGGGTGAAGCTGAACAAATTAAATTCCTCAATAGTTCCTCATCGGCTTGTGAAGAAGAAGAGGTAAAGACGGCAAAACCTGCCGCCACTGAGACCACCTCAAAATCTGCTACTGCTGCTGCTGACAATGAGGCTGCCGCCATCAAGGATGTACGTTTCGGTGACTTTAAGGATGATGAGAAGGTTAAGGAGGCCAAGACAGTAACGGCCTCAAAGACTGAAAGTGCAGCTGCTCCCGCTACCGCTGCCACAGACTCCAAAACTCCCGATAGTGTTGATAATAGTAACAATCAAGCTCATGCCCGACCTGCCGTAGCTGCCTCCACTGCCCAGATACCAAAATCGGCCAAGGCTTTGCACGTTGCCCCATCCATACAGAAACATCCAAAAACTGGCAAAAATCTGTATCGTTATTCTTTGGATGAGCTGAAACAATTGGCCAAATCTGAAGAATCACAAAAACTTCCTGTGGTGCCTTGTCAAAAGGGTGGCTGCATTGCCGCCTTGTTTGTCTCACGACCCAACAATCAAAATCTGCCACACATGCAACAGCAATACCAGCACATGAACTTCAATGAATCCATGGACCTGGTGTCGGGCAAACGTGGTGGACGACCACAACGTAAACATGATCACAACATGACTGGGTCGTGTGGCAATATTGCCGGAGCCGGTGGTCCTCCCGGTCCCGGTGGCAGCATGATTGGTACAACCGGTGGCAGTGTAAGTGTAACCGGCACCTCATTTGCCCGACCAATGCGTATGATTCGTGTGAATCTGTCGTTGAACGAAGAAATCAAATTGAATGAAAGTGAAAATGCCTGGAAACCGGATACGTTGCGCAAGAAGACTGGTGGCGCCAACAATTCCGATTCCTCAACAAATCTGAATGACAACATTGATGCTGTGCTAAAGAAAGTGCGTGGTGTGCTCAACAAATTGACACCCGAAAACTTTGATGTGCTGCTCAAGACAATGGTGTCCATTTCATTGGATACCACGGAAAAAATGCAACAAGTAACTATGACAATTTTCTTTTATTTCTTTTTTTTAATTCAATTTAATTTATAAAATGAAAAAGGAAAATACGTTATAATATTGATTAATGTTGGCTTTGGTGCATTGAAATTCTCTAATACAATCTTTCTTCTCTACTCATCTCTTAGTTTTCATTAACTTTTCTCACCCACAATTTTTGTTTCGTTTTTTTTTTTTTGTACAATACACCCAACAAATAATAGTAATGTTTTGGATAGTATTTTTTTTTTAATTTTTTGTTTTTTTTTTGCTCTGCTGCTATCTTTCTTTTTAATAATTATTATAATCTGGATTGTGCGAATGTGAAGTTGTCATCAGAAACCTTTTTTTTAACCATCCATACCACCAACCAACTCCCATTTCACTAACCTTTCAAAGAGTAATAGTAGAAGTTAAAGGGACCTGAGGTGGGTAAAAGAAGAGCTAACAGGGAGGAGAAATGTAAAACATGTAATTCATTTGACTTCCGACAATGAAAAATTGGTCTGCCGAATCTAAGAAACATTTCCTACAAAGTTGGCAATTATCTTTTGAATTTATTTTAAATATCTCTGTTTATATTAAACAGGTAGTACTTTAAATTTCCGAAAATGGGAGGCATAACTTATTGGGCTTTCTCCCCCGAGGCTTTTTTAAAAGTAGGCTTATCCGATTTATTTGCCCAAAATTTTTCTGGCGTGTGATGGTGATATTACCTGTGACTATTAATTGAAAATAAATTAATACCTCTCACAAAATTCAAGAACTGATACGACTCAAGGCCTGGCTAACGGGGATATATTCTCCTCGCTCCATGAGCTTTGTCTTGGCTTTTCCAAGTGGGATACCAGAAGTGACTTGCATGGAAAATTTATTTTTCTGATTTAAACTAAAATTAAAATTGATATTTTCTATAAAATTTCCCATTTTAGAGAAAACATCCCATTTTGGACTGTAAGTTGAAGACGGATACAATTTTAAGAAATATTTTCAATCCCGTGGCTTTATACCACCTAAAATATCTGCGGTCTTAAAGGTGGATTGAACTGAAAGTCACAATTTTAAGGGGGATTCTCAAGCTACAAACAACCGTTTTTCCTATTTGGTTCGTTGTTTTTTCATCTTCAAGTTCGAATCTCCCTCAAAACTTGCTTCTACATCTATAGTGTCAATTATTATTAAAAGGCACTACATGTCTTCAACTAAAAGTAATCTGTGGGGATAGTATTTATCCTTGAGAATGACCTCTACGAAATAAAAAAAAAATGTTTTCAAAGAAATGTAAAAGAATGAAATGTTTGAAGAAGTAAAAATTTTCCACAATACTTTGTTTTAGGCCGACGGTGTCAATATATAAAAGATTCTTTACCATTGGTGCATAACAAACGTGTTAAGAAATCTTAAGGTAGTTATTAGTAGAACATGACCAAGATTTTTGACCATACAAAAAAAAAAAAAAAAAAAAAAAAAAAAAATACGTCTTGTGGGGAATTTGCAGTACCAAAATCGAGTTATTTTTAAAAATAATTTTTTTTGGAAAACCTATTTTTGTTTGAGTCAAAATGACCTTCAATGCTTGATTTTACGTTGAGGGTATCAATGGAGAACATGTTCTTCGTCAAATTTTACTATCAGCCTCAAACCAAAAGAGATTGATTGAGACAATAGTATTCCAAAAATGTGCAGTACCAAAATTGAGTACTTTTTAAAAATATATATATTTTTTGGAAAACCTCAAACAGAATTTGAGTCAAAATGACCTTCAATGCTTGCTTCAACGTTGACGGTGTCAATGGAGAACATGTTCCTCATCAAATTTTACCATAAGCCCAAAACCAAAAGAAATCGATAGGCATAATATATATCCTAAAAATATGCGAAACCAAAATTAAGTGCTCTATAAAATATTTTTATTTTTGGAAAACCTATTTTTGTTTGGGTCAAAATGACCGTCAACGCTTGTTTTTACGTTGAGAGTGTCAACGGGGAACATGTTCCTCGTCTAATTTTACTATCAGCCTCCAACCAAACGAGATTTATAAAAACAATATTTATCCCATAAATATGCAGTACCAAAATTGAGAAGTTTTTAAAAATACATATTTTTTTGGAAAGCCTATTTTGTTTGGGTCAAAATGACCACCAATGCTTGCTTCAACGTTGACGGTGTCAATAGAGAATATGTTCCTCATCAAATTTTACCATAAGCCCTAAACCAAAAGAAATCGATAGGCATAATATATATCCTAAAAATATGCCAAATCAAAATTAAGTGCTCCCTAAAATATTTTTATTTTTGGTAAACCTATTTTTGTTTGGGTCAAAATGACCATCAATGCTTGATTTTACTTTGAGGGTGTCAATGGAAAAAATGTTCCTCGTCAAATTTTACCATAAGCCCTAAACTAAAAGAAATCGATAGGCACAATATATATCCCAAAAAATATGCGAAACCAAAAAAAGGTGCTCCCTAAAATATTTTTATTTTTGGAAAACCTATTTTCGTTTGGGTCAAATTCACCATCAATGCTTGCTTCAACGTTGACGGTGTCAATAGAGAATATGTTCCACATCGAATTTTATCAATGGCCCTGAACCATAAGAAATCGATTGAGATAAAATATATCCTAAAAATAAACAATATCAAAGTTGATTACTTCTTAAAAACATAGTTTTATTGTGATAAAGCGGCTGTTAATGATTTTTTTTGGTCGGGAGCGTTAAGCCTCCTAGGCAAGATGAAACTTTTCACACTGGAACAACTTTCAGAAATCAAATCAACGTGTTCCAAGTTTAATTCATAATCTGTTAATATGGCTCGATTCCGATTGAATACCATATGCCAGACATTTATTGCCCAGAAATGCCAATGCAAACTGCTTGCTGCAGGATTTTAAAGAATTTTCTGCGTAATACCCGACCTTTCAATATCATTGATATTTGGAACAGATCCTTGAACAACTTTCTCCCTTTGAGTGATTGTTCAAATCGCTCCCCTTTCAGATTTACATATAGCTTTTCATTTGTTTACAAACATTTTTTTTTGAATTGATGAGTGGATTCTGATATAAAATGGTTTTATGCAAACATATTTTTGGAGACATAATATGCCTCCCAAGCCGAATCTAGAATTCCGGTGTCAATAAAATTCTATAACACATGGATATCCTCTTTCATTTTCTGCGTGTGTAACCAAAGCCAACTTTTCATTATTTTCATTCCTCGTTTTCTTTCCATGATGGGGGACCACACAGGTCGAAGGCGTGTTATTTTCCTTTTTCATGTTTTCTTTTTGGTCATTAGAAACACATTGCTTTTCCAAGAATTTTTGTCAATCATTTTTCCCTCCTTTTTTTCTCTCTCTCATTCGATCAACTTCCGCTCCAGGTGATGTTGTTGATATTCGAAAAAACTATTAGTGAACCCAACTTTGCACCAACCTATGCCAAATTCTGCAAAGTACTCTTCCAAGAAGTCAAACCGGAAAGTAAAGCTCTCTTCAATACGCTGCTGATCAAACGTATCCAGACCGAGTTCGAGACGAACGTCAACAATGCCGATGCCAAGAATGAGAAATTGAAACCGTTGATTGAGAAACTTGATGCCTGTACGGATCCCAAGGAACGCCTCGAACTGCAAGCCGAACTCGAAGATCAGGAATATCAGTTTAGACGTCGTGCCTGGGGTACGGTGCGTTTCATCGGTGAGATGTTCAAATTGCAGTCGTTGACTGGCGATCGTGTTATGATGTGTATCGAATCATTGCTGGAACACGGCAGCGAAGAGAAATTGGAATACATGTGCAAACTTATGACCACCGTGGGTCATTTGCTGGAGGCCAAATATTCAGCGGAGAAGAACATTACTCGCATGGATCGGGTATTCAATCGTATCAATGAAATCATCCGGCAGAGCCGGTCGAATAAGGGCAATCAACAGAATAAGATTAGCAGTCGTGTGCGTTTCATGATGCAGGATGTGATCGATTTGAGGGCACGTCGATGGGACCAAAACACCTCATCGCCCAGTACAGCGCCGGCTGGTGGCCCCAGCAATGTGAGCAGTGGTGGCAGCAGCAGCATGTCCGGCAGCAGTGGTTCGCAGCATCAAAACCGCCGTGGAAATCGTGAAGACAAGAATAACCGCAACAACTATGACCGTGGCGGTAGCTCGCAGCGTATGGGCGGCGGTGGTGGTGGCAGCCGTGATTATGGCAACAACAATCAGGGTCGCCGCATGGATAACCGTGACAACTACTACAACAAGAACTCTCAAAAGGGTCAATACCAGCAGGATCAAAGTCTGGACTTTAAGAAATTGAATTTCTCCCGTGGCCTCGAATCGGAATCCTCTACCACGTTGGGCAACAGCTCGCTGTTTATGTGGCGTAATCCGGGACGCGGCAGCCAGGGAGGTTTACTGCAAAATGCCACAGCTCCACCATTTGGTGGCGGCATGTCCTCCGGCTCACAACAATATGGTGGTTCCAGCAGTCAATCCAATTCGGCCAACAATACGATAAAACGACCCACCAATCCCTTCCAGCTTTTGTCCACCCGCGAATCGGACGGCGATCGTCACCAGAACAGCGATGCCGAACGTCCCTCGGCCTCGCACACCTCGGCGAGCAGCAGCAGCAATGAGGGCTCCGATGACGAGGATGAGGCTGCCGTCGACAGCTACTCCACCAAAGTGGTGCACAAAATGATCAATGACCTCGTTGAAAGTTACTTAGAAACTGTTCCTAGCTTTGCCTGGCAAGGCGAGATCCTGTCCAAATGGCGTTCGTACTCGCTGAAACAACACATGGAAATTGTGCACTGCCTGCTAATGAGTTACCTGCATCTGCGCGACGTCACCAAGGACCACAGGGCGGCTGCGGCCGCCATTTTCCATCATCTGCTGAGAACCAAGTCCTTCGACAAGAAGGCGTTTGCTCGTTCCTATGACCAATTCGCCAAAGAGTTCGCCGATGTGCTGGTCGATGTGCCGAAGGGTTGGATGTACATCTTTGAGTTTTTGGGTCCCCTGCTGCACGATCACATGCTGACGTTTGACGACATTTGGCGCTCGGACTGGAAGAACGAGGAACTTGACTTCCGCCAGAAGTTTGTGACCGCCTTTGTGGTACACTTTACCAAAGAATTCGGCACGAATTATGTACGCGACCTGTGGCACAAAGAATTCAAACTGGACCGAGGTCAAGTGTTCTCCAGCGATCCCAAGGAGTGGCAGGAGCTGATCAACTCCAATCGCCTGCAGTACATATACGACCCAAATGTCAAGCCCCCCACGGACTACACCAGCTGCACGGGTGTCAGTGTGGACCGCAAGGTCAAACGGCTGTCGGCCCTGCTGAAGAGTGTGCGGGGGGATAATTGCTGCGATTTAGCCATAGATTATATCAATACTAATGTAAATATTAATGACGAATTTGTGAGACAGTTTGCCCGCTTCCTCTGCTGTGATTATGCCATTGCAATGACATCCGGTAGCAGCAGTAGTAGTACAAAGAAGGACACCAGCAGCAGTAGTACGAAAATCCCCCAAGTCAATGCCGAACGTTTCCGCAAGGTGTGTGTGCCGCTGTTGCGCCTGTGCAACGATACCCAGGAGAAATACGAATTGGCCTGTCTCGATGCCGTGCACGATGGCATACAGCAGGAGTACTCCGACTATGCGGTAGTCGATGACATAACCTGCAATATCTTTGACCTACTCTACGATTCGGAGGTAATAGTAAAGGAATCACTGGACAAATGGTATAGACAACGTTTGGCGGCGGCTAGCAGTAGTAGTAGTGAATCGTCTAAAACAAAATCACGCGGTATCGGTGGTGGTGGTGGTGGACAACAACAACAATTGAGTGCTAAATTCCAGGCCTTTTTACAGAAAATGCTTTAACCAGGTGGTGGCGGACGACGAGGAGGAGGAGGAGAGGATAGTTGCTGCTGCTGCTGTGGCGGTCGCCGCTGTTGCTGCTGCTGCTCAACAAACGCCGCAAGTTTGTTAACATCCAATCAATATTTTATTAAGGTGTATAACGAGACAACTAAAACAACAACAACCAGAACGAGAAGAACAACCTACAACAATAGCAACGACTACAGGAAAAGTCCCAAAATAGACTGCAAACAACAACAAACAAAAAATTAATAACTTTATCTAATTTTTTTCTAATTTAGTTAAAATTGAATGAAAAAAAAAAAAAAACAAAACGGAAGAAACCCCAAAAACAAAAATGAAAAATCAAAAAATAATTATAAATGAAATCATATTTGATAGAAAGAACTAATGAAAACAAATTTTGAAATTCTATGTCCCTTTCCCCACACACGTACACACACGAACACATTCTCATAATAAAATATGATGATCCAGGCCCCCCCCGAACTTCATACGACACATTTTGACCCAAACCCCAAAAGAATGAATGAAAGAAACACAAAGGCAGGATCCTTAAAAAAAAAGAGTCAACAAAAAACACCCGAAAATTGCTAACATCGAACAAAGAAGAAGAAGAAAAAATATCGAGTTATACCAAGAAGAAATGAAATATGAAATGGAAGAGCAAGGCTGCAGCAAGGTTTTTTTTACAGAAAACATTTTCAATTCACACCTTGCCCTGCAACCGACAGATAGCCAGCCAGCCAGCCAAGCACAGCTTACCCTCACCAGGAAGCCACAACACGATAATATTTTTGTTGATGAATACCAATTATGATTGATTGAAGATGAAACAGTTTCAAAATTTCCATAGAAATAAAAAATTGGAAGTAAAATAAAAAAACAACAAAAACAAAAACGATTTCTTTTCATTAATGCAGTTCTCATTAACAACAACAAAAAAGAATACGGTTACACACAAATTCCATACTCCTTCAGCTCCTGCGATCAACGACGAGAAATTAGCCCAAATTTTTTGTTTTTAATTTTTTTTTTGTATGAATTTTTTGTGAGTCATTCTTTAAGGCCCTATTTTTAGTTGTTTTTGTTTATAAGTCTCACCTATATAACTACACTACACTACAAAAAAAAATACACACAACAACTACTACTATGTTAATTTTAAAAAAAGATGATTTTTGTCCTTTTTTTTATTGAATAACATTTGAAATGTTATTAAATAGAAAAACAAATCAATTAAGTTTAAGAAGCCACAAGAAAAATTTAAAAAAATCCAAAAAAAAAAAAAATACATAAGAAAAGAAAAACACTTGAAAAGTGTGTGTGAACAACCCCGAAATATAACATAACATAAAAAAATATTATAATAAAACAAATAAAGAAAGAGGAAAAAGAAAGAATATATATTAAATAAATAATTAAATCGAAACTCCCCAATCACACGCTCCACCCTCTCTCTCTCAAACACATTGACATTGTAATAATGATGATAATGATGATGATGATGCTGCTGATGATGATCATAACCACAAACACCACTTGATGATGATGATAATGAAATGATGCTGTAGAAAACTACTAACCCCCCCCCCCCCCCTCACCCTATCTACCAATCCCTCTATCTTTCCTTTTACGAAATATTGTTAATGTATTTGTAATATAAAATAAAAGAAGAAACAACAAAACAAAAAACGATTTGCATACAATTTTCTGCCTTTTCAAAATAAAACCCAACATAAACACAAAACGAATCAACACAACAACTACATACATCTATCTAAAAATAATAGAAATCACAATAATATTTAATAAAAAAAAATTAAATAAAAAAAACCAAACCAACAAAATAGATTATTGCAATTTTTGAATTGAACGAAATGAGAAAAAAAATCTACAAAAGAACCCCAAAATCCAAGTTGCAAGTTTTTCTTTTCTTCATTTTGTAATTCCGTTTTAGGGGGGAAGAAGAAGTTTTTTTTCTCTCGCCCATAAAGATTTTTTATTTTTTTCTAGAAGTTTTTGTTATCAGATCAGCTGTATATTTTTTTTTTTGATGGGTGAAGGGTTAAAAAAATTAAGGTTTATAAAGACGACCTCATATAGAGACTTAGGACTTAGGAGGACTTATATAGAGAGGACCCTAGGGGACGTCTATAAACATAACCTTAAGGACGTCTATAAATAAGACCTAAGGGACGAATATAAAGACGATCTAAAGGACATCTATAGAGACGTCTAAAAAGACGAGCTTAAGGACGAGCTATAAAAACGAATTTAAGGACGTCTATAGAGACGAACTTAAGGACGTCTATATAGACGACCTCCAGGACGTCTATGGAGACGACCTCCAGGACGTCTATAGAGACGACCTCCAGGACGTCTATGGAGACGACCTCCAGGACGTCTATGGAGACCTTAAGGACGTCTATAAAGACTTAAGGAAGTCAATAGAGACGACCTCCAGGACGTCTATAGAGACGACCTCCAGGACGTCTATAGAGACGACCTCCAGGACGTCTATAGAGACGACCTCCAGGAAGTCTATAGAGACGACCTCCAGGACGTCTATAGAGACGACCTCCAGGAAGTATATAGAGACGACCTCCAGGACGTCTATAGAGACGACCTCCAGGACGTCTATAGAGACGACCTAAAGGACGTCTATAGAGACGACCTAAAGGACGTCTATAGAGACGACCTCCAGGACGTCTATAGAGACGACCTCCAGGACGTCTATAGAGACGACCTCCAGGACGTCTATAGAGACGACCTCCAGGACGTCTATAGAGACGACCTCCAGGACGTCTATAGAGACGACCTCCAGGACGTCTATAGAGACGACCTCCAGGACGTCTATAGAGACGACCTCCAGGACGTCTATAGAGACGACCTCCAGGACGTCTATAGAGACGACCTCCAGGACGTCTATAGAGACGACCTCCAGGACGTCTATAGAGACGACCTCCAGGACGTCTATAGAGACGATCTCCAGGACGTCTATAGAGACGACTTCCAGGACGTCTATAGAGACGACCTCCAGGACGTCTATAGAGACGACCTCCAGGACGTCTATAGGGACGACCTCCAGGACGTCTATAGGGACGACCTCAAGGACGTCTACAGAGACGACCTAAAGGACGATCTCAAGGTCTTCTTTAGAGACGACCTTAAGGTCGTCTGTAGAGACTTTCTTTATGATTGAACGACCTCAAGGTCATTTCCTTAAAGTCATCTCTATAGACGTCTTGAAGGTCATCTCCATAGTCGTCTTTAAGGTCATCTGTATGGACGTCTTGAACGTCATCTCCATAGACGTCCTTAAGGTCATCTCTTTAGACGTCCGTAAGGTCGTCTTTATTGACTTCCCTAAGCCCGTCTCTATTCACATCCTAAAGGCCATATCTTTAGACATCCGTAAGGTCGTTTCTATTGACTTCCTTAATCTCCTCTCTAGAGACGACCTCAAGGACGTCTATAGAGACTTTCTTTATGATCGTCTCCATAGACGTCCTTAAGGTCACATCATATACTTCTATTGAAACGACCCCAAGGTTATTTCATCAAAGTCATCTCCATAGACGTCTTTAAGGTCGTCTCAATAGACTTCCTTAAGGTCGTTTCAATAGACTTCCTTAAGGTCGTCTCAATAGACGTCCTTGAGGCCGTCTCTATTGACGTCCTTAAGGTCATCTCTTTAGACGTTCGTAAGGTCGTCTCAATTGACGTCCTTAAGATCATCTCTTTAGACGTCCGTAAGGTCGTCCCTATTGACTTCCTTAAGTCTTTATAGACGTCCTTAAGGTCTCTATAGACGTCCTTAAGGTGGTATCTATAGACGTCCCTAATGCCGTCTCATTGACGTCCTTAAGGTCGCTTTATAGATGTCTTTTGAAACGACCTCAAGGTCGTCTCCATAGACGTTCTTAAGGTCATCTCTTTAGAGGTCCGTAAGGTCTTCTTTATTGATTTCCTTAAACTCGTCTCTTTAGACGTCCTTAAGGTCGTCTCTATAGACGTCTTTAAGCTCGTCTCCATTGACGTCCTTAACGCCGCCTCTATTGATGGCCTTAAAGTCATCTCTATCGACGTGTCCTTGTCGTCTTTATAGACGTCCTTAAAGTCGTCTCTGTTCTGACATTATTTACCATCCATAGAGCATGCCCTTAGAGGAGTTTTTTTAACTTGGATTATGGATGGGAGATTTTTAAAAGGTCTCTATCTTTTGAAGTTGTAAAGACGGTAGTTTTTTTTTAGAAATCGTGAAAAAAATATCCTTGAGGCCTTTCAGGGTAGTCATGAAGTGAAAAGAATTTTTTGAAATTATTGACGCCCTTAAGATTGTCTCTATTCTGACATTGGATGGGAGATTTTTAAAAATTTTTATCTTTTGAAGTTGTAAAGAAGGTAGTTTTTTTATAGAAATCATGAAAAAAATATCCTTGAGGTCTTTCAGGGTAGTCATGAGGTGAAAATAACTTTTTACTTTGCTTTTTTTATCCAAACATTTAATAAGGATATAGGAATATGAGTTCGCAGTATCAATCATCTGGCATACATGTAGGTTTTTTAGGCCTGGGGGAAGTATTTTCTTTCCAGAAAAATTAGAAATGACTTGGGAATGGAGAATGATTTTATTGAATATTGTAGGCTTAGGGACGATGAAAAGAAAATATAGTCAGTCGTTGAGTACCCTATTTCGGTCGAGAAAATATCGAAAAAATCGGTGAGACCGAATGCTTCATCCTTGACAAGAATAAAATTCTTGCCGTCATAGAGGCACGGGACCTCAAATGTAAATCGAATAGGAGAATTTGGCCCCTGTAGAGACGATCTTCAACGGACGTCCAAGCAACGGTTTCGAAATTTCGTTAGAAATGATTTTGCATTTTAAGACATCTATGAAGACAGCCTTAAGACGACTTTAAGGACGTCTATAGAGATCGAAGCTGAGATTTCGGCCCCATTAAAAATTTGTTTCCAATGTTCGATTTATATTGTTTTGGAAAGCTTTTACAAAAATGTTCGTTTTTTCTAACCCAACAATTATTCTTCTTCCTCTCTTTGTAGGAGTCATGACCTTTTTTTTATTTTTTGTTAATTTTTTTTTTCAGTAATTTGAGTATGGTTTTTTTTTTGGTAATTTTTTGTAGTTCATTATTTGGTTGGTTATGTCCTCACACAAAATGTAAGAAAAGAGAAACTGCATTCATAGTTGGGGGCATCTCCCCCCATAGCATACAAAGTGCTATATTTTCCCTTTTAAACTCCCTACCCCTCAAGTCTTTCCATAACAAATGAAACTAGTTAAATTATAATCTCCTCCTGAAGATGAATTTTTTTTTCTGCAGCAGAATACAATGGAAACATCATTTATTTTTGTTTTTTTTAATACCATGGATTTGTTGTTTTAATATTCTATATATATTTTTATAGAAATAATAACACCCATTTTATTATTTTTTTTTTAAATTTTGTATATGTATTTAATTTTTTTTATTTTGTTGACAAACATATTTACACACAAACACACCACATATATTCATGCTATATAGAAACAATTAAATTAATAAATTTAAGAACAGTCTTTGTGAAACTCATAAACAAATTAAAAAAAGAAAAACAAAAACATAATAAAAAAATGAAAATAATATGGGATTTTTTGTATAAAAGAAAAAAATGAAGAAAAAGTTAGAAGAAGAAAACAAATATTTATTTTTATTAATTATAAGTTTCCTATAAAAAAATTGCATAAAAACTCGAAAAAAAAAACAAACAAATTTGCTATGGTATACAAATAAAAAAATTATGTTTGGTTTGTTATACAATCCAGAATTAACGTAAAAAAGGAGAAAACAAAAACAAAAAATAACAAACAACAACATTTAGTCGAGAACAAGATTGAGTAAACTTTTCATAATAAAATACTAAAAATTTAAAAAATATAAATAAAAAAACAAAAATAAAACAAACAATGTAACCGTTTACTATATTATATACCTAAATCCATATATACAATTCTAGTATATAATCAAACATTTATAACACTACAGTAAAGGACAAATAAAGAAAAGAAAATGTGCAATGAATGCTAATAGAAAGAATACAAGACAGAAAGAAAGAATACAAGAAAATAAAACAAATAGTCAAACAAAATTATAGGAATAATAGAAATTACCTAAAACCCAGATATGATGGCAGCTCTTTAAAAAATAAACTAAGAAAAGAAAAAATAGAAGCAGAAACAAAAAGGCAGATAGTCCTCTAAAGCTGTTAACGTTCTAAACGATAACAAAAAAAATGAATAGAAATATGAAATTGTAAAACTTTTTTTATTTGATTTCTTAACGTTAATTTTTTATAAAAAAACTCAGTTGTCCTTGAGGACTTTTACAGAGACAACCTAAGGGATGTCTACAGAGATGGCAAGGATGTCTTTACGGATGTCTATGGCAACCCCAATAACGTGTTTAGAGACGACCTCAAGGACTTCTATAGAGACGACCTCAGGGACATCTATAGAGATGACCTCAAGGACGTCTATAGAGACGACCTCAGGGACGTCTTTAGAGACGACCTCGAGGACGTCTTTAGAGACGACCTCAAGGACGTCTTTAGAGACGACCTCAAGGATGTCTTTAGAGACGACCTCAAGGACGTCTTTAGAGACGACCTCAAGGACGTCTTTAGAGACGACCTCAAGGACGTCTTTAGAGGCGACCTCAAGGACGTCTTTAGAGGCGACCTCAAGGACGTCTTTAGATACAACCTAATTGACGTCTATGGAGACAACCTAATTGACGTCTTTAGAGACGACCTCAAGAACGTCCATAGGGACGATCTCAAGAACGTCTATAGAGACGACCTTACCGATGTCTATAGAGACGACCTCAAGGACGTCTCTTTAAACTTCCATCAGGTCGTCTTTATTGGGATCCAAATACACATCCCTCAGGTCGTCTTTATAAGCGTCCAAGTTGACTTCTTTGAGATCGTCTCTTTAGACGTCCTTGAGATCATCTTTTAGTCGTCCTGGAGGTCGTCTCTATAGACGTCATTGAGATCGTCTCTATAGACGTCCTTGATTTCGTCTCAATAGACGTCCTTGATTTCGTCTCTATAGACGTCCTTGAGGTCGTCTCTAAAGACGTCCTTGAGGTCGTCTCTATACACGTCCTAAAGGTCGTCTCCATAGACGTACGTTAGGTCGTCAAGAACGTCTATAGAGACGACCTCAAGTACGTCTTTAGAGACGACCTCAAGGACGTCTATAGGGACGACCTCAATGACGTCTATAGAGATGACCTCAAGGATGTCTATAGAGATGACCTCAAGGACGTCTTTAGAGACGACCTCAAGGATGTCTGTGGAGACGACCTCAAGGACGTCTTTAGAGACGACCTCAAGGACGTCTTTAGAGACGACCTCAAGGACGTCTTTAGAGACGACCTCAAGGACGTCTATAGAGACGACCTCAAGGACGTCTATAGAGACGACCTCAAGGACGTCTATAGAGACTACCTCAAGGACGTCTGTGGAGACGACCTCAAGGACATCTTTAGAGACGACCTCAAGGACGTCTTTAGACACGAACTCAAAGATGTCTTTAGAGACTACCTCAAGGACGTCTTTAGACACGAACTCAAGGATGTCTTTAGAGACTACCTCAAGGACGTCTTTAGAGACGATCTCAAGGACGTCTATAGAGACGACCTCAAGGACGTCTATAGAGACGACCTCAAGGTCGTCTATAGAGACGACCTCAAGGTCGTCTATAGAGACGACCTCAATAACGTCTTTAGGGGCGACCTCAAGGACGTCTATAGAGACGACCTCCAGGACGTCTATAGAGACGACCTCAAGGACGTCTATAGAGACGACCTCAAGGACGTCTATAGAGACGACCTCAAGGACGTCTATAGAGACGACCTCCAGGACGTCTATAGAGACGACCTCAAGGACGTCTATAGAGACGAACTCAAGGACGTCTTTAGACACGAACTCAAGGACGTCTTTAGAGACGACCTCAAGAATTTCTATAGAGACGACCTCAAGGATGTCTATAGAGACGACCTCAAGGACGCCTATAGGGACGACCTCAATGATGTCTATAGATACGGCCTCACGGCTGTCTATAGAGACGACCTCAAGGATGTCTCTTTAAACTTCCACCAGGTCGTCTTTATTAGGATCCAAATAGACGTCCCTTAGGTCGTCTTTATAAGCGTCCAAGTTGACTGCCTAGAGATTGTCTCTTTAGACGTCCTTGAGATCATCTTTTTAGACTCTTTGAGATCATCTGTTTAGACGCCCTGGAGGTCGTCTCTATAGACGTCCTGGAGGTCGTCTCTATAGACGTCCTGGAGGTCGTCTCTATAGACGTCCTGGAGGTCGTCTCTATAGACGTCCTGGAGGTCGTCTCTATAGACGTCCTGGAGGTCGTCTCTATAGACGACCTGGAGGTCGTCTCTATAGACGTCCTGTAGGTCGTCTCTATAGACGTCCTGGAGGTCGTCTCTATAGACGTCCTGGAGGTCGTCTCTATGGACGTCCTGGAGGTCGTCTCTATGGACGTCCTGGAGGTCGTCCTTTTGGATGTCCTTAAGGTCGTCTCTGGCAAATGCATAATAGTAGGTTGAAGCGCAGCCATCAGTCGTTTTTTTTTTTCAATTATTTATGAAAATTACTATTTTTTTTCAAAATATCTATTATTCAAAAATTTGCGTTATTTTTTTTTTTTGAAATTTTTTTTTTAAGAAAATGCGCCTTGCATAAAAATAATTATTAAAAACATTGAAACATAATATAGGAGGAGAACTTGTATTAATTTCTTTGTCCGTCACTGTATATACATACATAAACAAAAAATATATAATTGAAAAAAAAAAAAAAACAATAAGAATTACTTATATAAATTTAATAATATATATATATATATAAATGAAAAAGGAAATACTATAGCTAAACATTATTATAGCTATTATCTAAAGAATTTCAAAGCAAAACAGAATGAAAAAAAAATCATGAAAAAATCTCACACACACAAACGCGCCCGCGCCCCTTGACGTCATTATAAAACATAAACTAGCAAAAAGAAATAAATAAAAGAAAAATAAAAAAAAAAAATATATATATATATATATATATATATATATATATATATATATATATATATATATATATATATATATATATATATATATATATATATATATATATATATATATATATATATATATATATATATATATATATATATATATATATATATATATATATATATAAAATAACGGTAAGCAAAACCAAGAAGAAAGAAAAAAATGAAAAAATATTATAAAAACAACAACACTAGCATTAAATCAATTTAAGAAAATGGTGTGAACAAAAAATGAAAACACAACAATGAAATATTATTAATATATTTATAATTACCATAAAAAATGAAGAAAAAAATGCAAAATATGCAAACAAATTCAATATGTTGCGGTTGAAGAACAACAAAAAAGGGAGAAGAAGAAAAAAAAAAAAAGAAGCTGAGTTATATAGACAGCAAAAAAACTAAATGAGATGAACCAAGAGATATAAATTAATATAAAATATTAAAAAAAATAATAATAAAAAAAGATGAATACCAGATATTGGCTCTGTGGTCCACAAACTTCATCATGACCCGAAAATATGATGGGAAAACGAACCAAGGCTAAAAACAAATGTCACATTTATAAAATGATGATGTTTTTCATTTTTTTCCACAAATCTTTCCCTTTTATGTTTTACAAAAAAAAAAAAACAATGTTGAGGTGCCATGCAGCCACCACAGACATAATAACACACCCACACACACACACACGAAGAAACACAGATAGTTGAAATCATAAAACAACAAAACAAACAAAAAATCCATGTATTTTTATTTCAAAAGGTAATAAATAATTTAAAAAAATATATATTATAATAACAAGAAGAAGAAAATTAACAACATCAACAACAATAACAACAAAATAGAGAGGGGGGCTTTCGACATTATTCTGTACAGAAGTAAAAACCAACCCATACAATTAAAAAAAAAAAAATAATTAAAAATAAAAAAAACAAAAACAACAAAAAAATAAATAAAAATAAATAAAATAAAATTGTTTCCTTATGAGGAAAAAATTCTAAAACGCCCATTTGTTTCAATTAAATTTTTTAAAGGTAGAAATTTTAGATTCGATTTTTAAATTTCATAAAAAAAGTAAGTAGTCCTTAAGGCCATCCTTGAGGTCGTCTCTATAGGCGTCCTTGAGGTCGTCTCTATAGGCGTCTTTGAGTTGGTCTCTGTAGACATCCTTGAAGTCGTCTTTATGAGGATGTTTGGCATCAATTTGAAATGGCTTTTTGGAAGATAATACAAGGGAATTGAATCGGAAAAAAAAAACAATTTTAAAACCATAACAAATCCTAATCATTTTAAATGTTCTCCAATATATTCCCAAATAAAGCCTAAAAACCATGGAGAGACGCAATCGCATACCAGTCGCAAAATTCCGTACCCAAGAGGGTAAGACACGCAGCCGCAGTAGGGTACGTGAGCCGGACTACAATGAACAAGATCCCGAAACCGATTTGTTCACTCTGCTCGAGGATAACATTGCCTTGAAGGAAGAGAATAAGGCTCTAAAACTGCAACTGGAAGATCGTAAGTCGTATATTTTATTATTATTTGAAATTTATTTGACTTTTTTTCTAATTCCTTTGCAGACAAGAAAATCCAAAATGATTTGCTGGAGGAAAATTCCAAAATGTCCGAACAATTGGAATCGATGAAGAAACAGCATTCAGAACTGGATGTGGAAATTAAAAATTTAACGGTGAAATTTCAAAAAGTTCAAAATGAACGAAACGCCTTGGATAAGCTGCATAAAATGAAGGTTGAGAATATTACGAGGTATGTTTTAAAAATTTGGGAAATTAGAAATAGGAAACTTGGAGAGCAACGGAGGGCCTTAAAGGATTCTCATTTAAATAAAATATCCTTAGACGAGCTTCTATTTTCAATAGAGCACCTTTAAGCGGCTTCTGTTTTTAATAGAGCACCTTAAGGTGCCTGTGTTTTCAATAGAGCACCTTTGATGGGGCTTATATTTTCAATAGAGCACCTTTGAAGGGGCTTCTTTTTTCAATAGAGCACCTTTGAAGGGGCTTCTATTTTCAATAGAGCACCTTTGAAGGGGCTTCTATTTTCAATAGAGCACCTTTGAAGGGGCTTCTTTTTTCAATAGAGCACCTTTGAAGGGGCTTCTATTTTCAATAGAGCACCTTTGAAGGGGCTTCTATTTTCAATAGAGCACCTTTGAAGGGGCTTCTATTTTCAATAGAGCACCTTTGAAGGGGCTTCTATGTTCAATGGAGCACCTTTGAAGGGGCTTCTATTTTCAATAGAGCACCTTTAAGGGGCTTTTATTTTCAATAGAGTACCTTTGATGGGCCTGTATTTTCAATAGAGCACCTTTAAGGGGCATCTATTTTCAATAGAACACCTTTAAGGGGATTCTATTTTCAATAGAACACCTTTAAGGGGCTTCTATTTTCAATAGAACACCTTTAAAGGGCTTCTATTTTCAATAGAGCACCTTTAAGGGACTTCTATTTTCAATAGAGCACCTTTAAGGGGCTTCTATTTTCAATAGAGCACCTTTAAGGGGCTTCTATTTTCAATAGAGCACCTTTAAGGGGCTTCTATTTTCAATAGAGCACCTTTAAGGGGCTTCTATTTTCAATAGAGCACCTTTAAGGGGCTTCTATTTTCAATAGAGCACCTTTGAAGGGGCTTCTATTTTCAATAGAGCACCTTGAGATCGCCTCTGTAGACGCCCTGAAGGCCATGTTTACATACCTCCTGAATGTTGTCTACATATACTCCTGAAGGTCGTTTTTATATACGTCCTGAAGATCACGTTATAGACGTCCTTGAGGTTGTCTTTATAGACGTCTTTGAGGTCATCTTTATAGATATCTTTGAGGTCTCGAAAGGTCATCTCTGCAGACATCCTTGAGGTCGTCTTCATAGACGTCCTTAAGGTCGTCTCCATAGACGTCCTTAAGGTCGTCTCCATAGACGTCCTTAATGTCGTCTCCATAAACGTCCTTAAGGTCGTCTCTGTAGACGTCATTGAGAACGTCTCTGTAGACGTCATTGAGGACGTCTCTATAGACGTCATTGAGGACGTCTCTATAGACGTCATTGAGGACGTCTTCATAGACTTCGTTGAGGACGTCTTTATAGACTTCGTTGAGGACGTCTTCATAGACTTCGTTGAGGACGTCTTCATAGACGTCGTTGAGGACGTCTTCATAGACGTCGTACAGGACGTCTTCATAGACGTCGTACAGGACGTCTCCATAGACGTCGTACAGGACGTCTTCATGGACGTCGTACAGGACGTCTTCATAGACGTCGTACAGGACGTCTTCATGGACGTCGAACAGGACGTCTTCATAGACGTCGTACAGGACGTCTTCATAGACGTCGTTGAGGAGACGTCATACAGGACGTCTCCATAGACGTAGTTGAGGAGACGTCTCCATAGACGTCGTTAAGGAGACGTCATTAAGGACGTCTTCATGGACGTCGTACAGGACGTCTTCATAGACGTCGTACAGGACGTCTTCATAGACGTCGTTGAGGAGACGTCATACAGGACGTCTCCATAGACGTAGTTGAGGAGACGTCTCCATAGACGTCGTTAAGGAGACGTCATTAAGGACGTCTCCATAGACGTCCTTGAGGTCGTCTCTATAGACGTCCTTGAGGTCGTCACTGTAGGCGTTCTTGAGGTCGTCTCTATAGACGTACGAGACATCCTGGAGGTCGTCTCCACAGACACCCTGGAGGTCGTCTCCACGGACATCCTGATGTTTGTCTCCATAGACGTATTTGAGGTCGTCTCTATAGATGTCGCTGAGGACGTCTCCGTAGACGTCGTTCAGGTCGTCTATGTAGTCTTCCTTGAGGTCGTCTCTATAGTCGTCCTCAGACCTCAAGTCTTCTCTATAGACGTCCTTAAAGTCGTCTCCATAGACGTCTTAATTGTCGTCTTTATAGACATCCTTGGGTCGTCTCTCCAGACGACGTCGGGGACTTTTTTGAGGTCGTCTTCTCAGACGTACTTGAGGTCTCTACAGTCTGCCTTCAATCTCTATAGATGTCGTTGAGATCGTCTCCATAGTCATCCTTAAGGTCATCTTCGTCAGATACCCTTTTATAAATGTCTCCAATTTCGGTTTGATGGACGTCCTTGGGGTCGTCTTTATAGACATCCCTGGTCCCAAAAACGGCCTTTAGAGGACTACGTCTTTGATTTAAAAAAAAAAAAAACATTTTAATTTTTATCTCTCTTCTCTCCCTCCCTTTTCAGTCTCTCCCAAGAGTTGCAGCTACTCAAGGATCGCCAGGAGAACATATCCAATGCTGTTGTCTGTTCGCAAAGCCTAAAATCCAAACTTTTGAAGCTTTTGCCCACCCTGGCCAGCACGGCCGAAATGGAGAGTATCATTGAGGCCGATACCACACTGGCCACACCGTTGACCAGCGAATTGGTTGAGAAAATGGTCGATGAATTTATGGCATTGAAAAATTCCATGAATTCGGTTGAATTGCAATTGTACGAAGCCAATGAAAAGATTGCCGAACTTATTGAAAATGTGAGTTGCCATTGGCTTTTCCATGTTCATGGACACTTGAATGAGGTTTATTGTTGTTTGTGTTTTTCGTTTTTTTTGCGTTTTTCTCTCTCCCTCCCTCTGTGTAGCAACATCACCTGGACGAGGAAAATGAAACCTTACGTTCGGAAAATACCAATCTAACGAAAGTGGCAAAACTTTTGACGGAAAACATGAAAGAGAGTGTGGAAACGAGCAAAAAGTAATTTCAGTTTCAGACGTTTTCCGAACAAAATAATAATTTATTTGTTTGTTTGTTTCGTAGAATGGAAGCTGCTTTAATTAAATTAAAACAACGCAACGATGAATTAGTGGCCAAAACACGAGATGCCACCGATGGTGGTGGTGGCGCCCAACCTGTGGCCGTTACTCCAACTACAACTACAACACCTCCAGCACCCTCACCCACCACCGCCAAGGCAAATGAGGAATTTGAACAAATCAAAGAAGAGGTTGAGTCACAAAATCGAGACCACAATGAACGCATTGTTGAAATGGTAAGTTTGTGGTGAGTGTGGAGAAAAAATTAGAAGTTCATCATCATTGCCATTTCGACTGCATTGACATACCATGTACATAGGCGATCATACATAATATATATGTAAAACGTTTGTAGGACATCAATCATTTTTCAAATCCGTTTCAATACACAATGATTTAAAAAAATGTTATAAACCTGGAGGAATTTACTTAGAACTTCTTTGTGAATGAACTGAGATCTGTGATACACCTGAAGTGCACTGCGGAATTAGTATCCAGTGAGTTAAGGCTACTATCCCAAGTCCCGTTGTTCTGAAAGTTTATTTTGATGTGTTCGTTTTGCAAATCTGGTTTTAACTCCAAGTTTTTCAAGTTTGCCGACAGATTTATATTCTTGGCAGATGACACCCCATGCAGACCCCTTGTGATTTACCTGTGAATCCCAGGGAATTGATTTCCAATTTTATGAGACTCATAGTATGTTTTGTTCTAGGTGCGGGATGTACCAAAAATAATCGGTCGATATTTTCATACTTTTTAAGAAATATTTGATTTTGACAGATTTGACCGGGAGATATCAGAAATGATAAACCGTACCGTAACGTAACGCTCTATTTTGGTTTAATATTGGGATGTGCATAACTTGGACAAAATTTTGGCCCTTTGTGGCCAGGCAACCAAAAAGAGTGGACGATATTTTCCATTCCCATAGCTACCTTACTTTCGATATAAATATTACAATTTTCTATTGATGGGTTTAATTCGTCTTTAGTGGAACACCAATTTCTGTTGGGAAGGCTAGGATGGATCCCCACATTTAGTCTTCTGGATATATTTAATATTGACCGAAATGTGGCAAAGTGTGAAGTTTGAAGAATACCGGTCTCCTATTTCACATTTTATGGAAATGGGTAAGAGGAGTTCATCAATATTGTGCATTTTATCACCTGACATACGCGTAATGAAAGGAGTATGTTGTGACAAGTTCAGTCCATATTTGGAGCATTTTTATACTATGGAGGATTTTGTCATTCCGTTTGTAACTCTTCGAAATATTCATAATAGACCCTACGAAGTATATATATTCTGGATCAGCGTAAAATTCTAAGACGATCTAGCGTTGTCTTTCGATCAAATTTCGGCTAAAATTTTGAATACATGCATAGTTTACCAGTAGGCAGGTTAAGTTCGTAGATGGGCCATGTCGGTCCACACTTTCGACTAGCCTCATACAAAGGTGCCTCCCGATATTCGGTATTTTCATGATTTTAGTAACATTATTTTCCGGAATAGTTTCAAATTTCATATTTAAAGTTCATACAGCCTATGACAAAAATTTTTTTATGCAGGTCCACGTCTTCGTATAGCCCCCATATGACGGTACCTCGGTATTTCGACATTATTCTACGAAATTGTTTTAAATTTCCTAATGGGTACTACAGCCTATGACACAAAATTTCGTAACGGCTTCGTATAGTCCCCATAAAAAGGTTTTCATTTAAGTGTTAGTTTCCGGATTTTTTTTTTTTTTTTGAAAATTTTCTAGTTTCTTCCAAATGGTGGAGGGTATTAAAACTTCGACCCGGCCGAAGTTTGCTGCTTATTACTTGTTTCTTTTTTGAACATTTTAATTTTTGTTTTTTAGTCAAGGGCCAATTTATCTCAAGGTATAATTTTCGCAAAAATATTGAGATATGCAATAAAATTGATTGCCTGTATACTCTCCACCATACTGCGGAGAATATACTAAGTTTATTCCATTCAATTTCAATTTCCCGAAATAACCATTTTGAACCACTAAAAAGTAGATATATTTTTGATCAGCATAAAGTTCTATTTCCATTCAGCTATGTCCGTTTATTAAATTGTGGAAGTCATTCTTACAAATGTATTTCAGATTCGTAGCATTTTTATACCCTCTGTCATATGGCTACAGAGGGTATATATCATTTACGTCCAAAACGAAAATAACAGCTTTAGACCCTAGGTCTCTTTGGACCAAATCCGTTCAGGATATTTGAAATCGATTCAGCGATGTCCGTCCGTCCGTCTGGCTGGTGCGCACATAACTCTCAAAATTATTATCCGATTTGATCCAAACTTGCTACATCGTAATGTTATTGTCAAACTTAGATCGAGCTCGGAGATGGTCAACATTGGTTCACTGCTTTTGGAAACTTCCACAGAAAATGTCAACATTTTCAAAGAAAATAATTTTTTGCACAGAAAGAGAAACGACAATCCGATTTTGCTCCAACTTTGCAAATCCTAATATTTCCATCAGTGCTAGGTCAGGTGGGAAAATTGGCAATATCGGTCCACTCCATCAAGTCCCCCACAAAGGGTCAAAATTTTGAATAATTACAACTCTTATAAAATGTGATATAAGAGTTCGATTGTCTTCAAATTTCATACATCCCAATATTTTTATCAACCCAAGGTCTGGTGTAAAGATGGTAGAGATCGGAACTTTCCTTCTCGTACCTTCCCCATACAAGAGTCAACATTTCGAATATTCGTAAAAGTCATAAAACACGAAATAGATATCAGATTCCATTCAGACTTGACACATCTCAATATTTCCATCAACACAAAATCCGTTATAAAGATGGTAGATATCGGCCCATTCCTTCTTGTACCTCCCCCACAAAGGGTCAAAATTTTGAATATCCATGAAGCTTATAAAACACGAAATAAACATCCGATTCCATTCAGACTTGGCCCATATCAATACTTCCATCAACACAAAATCTGTTATAAAGATGGTAGAGATGGGATCATTCCTTCTGGTACCTTCCCCACAAAGGGTCAAAATTTTGAATATTCATGAGGCTCATAAAACACGAAATAAACATCCGATTCCATTCAGACTTGACACATCTCAATATTTCTATGAACATAAAATCTGTTATAAAGATGGTAGAGATCGGATCATTCCTTCTGGTACCTCCCCCACAAAATGTCAACATTTTGAATATCCAAAACGATCTTAAAATCCGAAATAAGCACCCGGTTCTCTTCATATTTCACACATCCCATTATTTCATCTAACACAAGATCTGCTGTGAAGGTGGGATGTATCGGTCCACTCCTTCTGGTACCTGCCCCACAAAGGGTCAAAATTTTGAATATTCATGAAGCTCAAAAAACACGAAATAAACATCCGATTCCATTCAGACTTGGCACATCTCAATATTTCCATCAAGACAAGATCTGTTATAAAGATGATACGGATCGGACCATTTCTTCTGGTACCTCCCCCACAAAGAAGTCAAAATTTTGAATAACCAAAACGATTATAAATTCCGAAATAAGCATCTGGTTTTCTTCAAATTACACACATCACAATATTTGTATTAACCGAAGGTCTGGTGTGAAAATGGTATATATTGTTCTACTGCTTCTGGTACCTCCCCCACAAAGGTCAAGCTTTTGTATACCCATAAAGCTCATAAAACGGGAAATCAACATCTGCTACCACTCAGACTTGGCACATCTCAATATTTCCATCAAGACAGGATCTGTTATAAAGATGGTAGAGATAGGATCATTCCTTCTGGTACCTTCTAAATATTTTTCTTAACCAGAAATCTTACATGAATGTGTAATTTATCGGAATTTATGATTTCGCATAAAATTGCCAATATTTTTATCTGTATTAGATGAAGTGTGAAAATGGAATACTTCGGTCCGCTATATCTGTTACCTCACGCATATTTCCACATTTTATCCACATATACAGTACTCGTAGGAAGTAGTCGATATAGTCCAAATCTGGCACGTTGTAATATTTTTATCAGTCTTAGGTCAGATACGAATTGGTCAATATTGTCCAACTGCTTCGGAAACTCCCCCATAAAGGGTCAACAGTTGAACAATCATAACTCAAGGCTAGGGATATACATTTGTCGACTGATACTTTTTTACTTGTTCTTGGAAAACTTCGATAAAATCATTGTGTCTTGACGGATTTTAAACACAACAACTCGTGGCCTTCTTGAGTTGTTCTTGTTCGAACATGCAAAACTACCCATTTCTCATTTTCATCGGCATAATGTCCATTTCGCAAAAAACAAAAATAAAACAACAACATTCATACACAGAAAAATAAACAATATTAAAATATAACCTATCAAGAAACCCACAATTGGTATTTCATCTTATGGAAAATATCCATTCACCCATTTGAATTTCATCGAAATCATTTCCAAAAAAAAAAGCTAAATCACAAAATTAATTTTGTACAGTACCTCACTTAAATAGAATATTTTGCACAAATTAATTCCAATTTTCACATTTTGCACTTAAAATACGTATTTAAAATTTGGTAAATTAGGGCTTGAAGCGTGTATCGGGTTTCTTTCGAAACATAAATATATTTAGGGGTAATTCAACTCCATCAACACCACCAACGCCACCAACAACAACACCACCAATACCCCACTCCAATGTTGCAACTGATGGCGCTGCTGCGACGACTGAAAAACAATAATACCAATACCCCAGCAAAGAGAGCCACATCCACCCACTGGCAGCAAAAACACCCAAACCTCCAACAAGTCCAAAAACAACAACCACAAATAAACCCTCTGCAAAATTTCTCTCCATAAACAAATATTCCCGAATACTTAAGTCTCTCTCTTTCTCTCCCGCCATTGCTTTGTGGGTGGGTGTGAATGTGGCCAACAACAGCTCAAAATAACTCTCAACTTTACGCTCTCTCTCTCCCCCTCTCTGTGAATGGTGCACACACACAACAAACCAACAATTATAACCAAAGAAAACGAGTAATTTTTATTTCTATATAGTGGTGGTGGTAATAGAATAGTACACAGCCCTCGTATTGTTGTAAATGTACTATACAACACTCTGACGAGTAAGCAGTCATTTTTTTCCACGAGTAACCATAGACCAGACATAACAAATGATGATAATGATGATGGCGATGTTAATAAAGCAGCTGATGGTGGTGAAGGTTTTGATTTTTTTCTGTTTGCCAAGGAGATGGATAATAAAG